GAGTCTACCGCTCACCTCAAGGGAATGGGGTCCCACGTTGTGCGGCTTTCGGCCGCAGCCTTGAGAGTCTCCTCAGATCCTCCCGCCAGCTACCACCCGCATGAGGTCGACACATATGCTCCACCAACCAATACAACGGCAGATATAGCCAAAAGGCAGTTATAAGATAAGAGTAATAATTCGCCATCAGAAAGGGTTTGTGTCACTGACGTTGATTAAATACATTTTCGATCATGTTTGTCTCACCCACCAACAAGTTGCCTTCAATCATTCAAAGGTGGGAAAGTTACAGAGATATAATATTATGTTGTTATATAAAACATCGTGGAGGGCAGACAGTCTGCAGCCCCGCAATGAAGGGACCCGACTTGGGCAAAGCTACTTAGGTGTGAGTCAAACCAAGACGCAGAGAGCGCCATTGAGAATAGCGTCCCACCAAACAACCACCGCAGAGACGCAATGCTGCAGAACGCAACAAGCATCAATACGACTATCGTCGGGCTTACACCATCCCACGGTCCCCCATACATCCCAGCAGACATCACCACCCGCATACCTCCATCGACCAGAACCACAAGAGAGCGTCGAATCAGGCGCAGCACACCCGCAGATCCATCACAAGACGCAATACCGCAAGTAGCAGTAAGCATCAAAGCAACTATCATACGGGTGGCGCCCCCTCACAACACACCCACATGACTCTTATCGACTTTGGTAACAAAGTTGGTATTGTTGTTATATAAAAAATATCACCAACGTATCATAGTAGCACGCTACTAAGACGTCAATGAACAAAACTCCACGTATCATAGCGCTAATGCACTAAGACATGAAGTTGAGTATGCCTGTTACACTTAAAAGTGCTACCAAACACACTCATCATCCCAATCCGAAAGATAGACGACACATCGCTATGCGCAACGACGTCGCCCACAAACGGTATGGGTGTGCGATATCCACGGCAAAGCCGTATTGCTACAACAAACCCGCTTACCACCAGCACTTAGATGTTAATTGTATACCTCCATCGACCAGAACCACAAGAATGCGTCGAATCAGGCGCAGCACACCCGCAGATCCATCACAAGACGCAATACCGCAAGTAGCAGTAAGCATCAATGCAACTATCATACGGGTGGCGCCCCCTCACAACACACCCACATGACTCCTATCGATTTTGGTAACAAAGTTTTTATTGTTGTTATATAAAAAATATCACCAACGTATCATAGTAGCACACTAATAATACGCCAGTGGACAAAACTCCACGTATCATAGCGCTAATGCACTAAGACATGAAGTTGAGTATGACTGTTACACTTAAAAGTGCTACCAAACACACTCATCATCCCAATCCGAAAGATAGACGACACATCGCTATGCGCAACGACGTCGCCCACAAACGGTATGGGTGTGCGATGTCCACGGGAAAGCCGTATTGCTACAACAAACCCGCTTACCACCAGCACTAAGATGTTAATTGTATACCTCCATCGACCAGAACCACAAGAATGCGTCGAATCAGGCGCAGCACACCCGCAGATCCATCACAAGACGCAATACCGCAAGTAGCAGTAAGCATCAATGCAACTATCATATGGGTGGCGCCCCCTCACAACACACCCACATGACTCCTATCGATTTTGGTAACAAAGTTTTTATTGTTGTTATATAAAAAATATCACCAACGTATCATAGTAGCACACTACTAAGACGCCAGTGGACATAACTCCACGTATCATAGCGCTAATGCACTAAGACATGAAGTTGAGTATGACTGTTACACTTAAAAGTGCTACCAAACACACTCATCGTCCCAATCCGAAAGATAGACGACACATCGCTATGCGCAACGACGTCGCCCACAAACGGTATGGGTGTGCGATGTCCACGGGAAAGCCGTATTGCTACAACAAACCCGCTTACCACGAGCACTAAGATGTTAATTGTATACCTCCATCGACCAGAACCACAAGAATGCGTCGAATCAGGCGCAGCACACCCGCAGATCCATCACAAGCCGCAATACCGCAAGTAGCAGTAAGCATCAATGCAACTATCATACGGGTGGCGCCCCCTCACAACACACCCACATGACTCCTATCGATTTTGGTAACAAAGTTTTTATTGTTGTTATATAAAAAATATCACCAACGTATCATAGTAGCACACTACTAAGACGCCAGCGGACAAAACTACACGTATCATAGCGCTAATGCACTAAAACATGAAGTTGAGTATGCCTGTTACACTTAAAAGTGCTACCATACACACTCATCATCCCAATCCGAAAGATAGAGACACATCGCTATGTGCAACGACATCGCCCACAAACGGTATGGGTGTGCGATGTCCACGGGAAAGCCGTATTGCTACAACAAACCCGCTTACCACCGGCACTAAGATGATATGTCTAGGACACATCGGTTAGCGAGTCCAAGTTTACCTCGGACCAATTGCTCATGAAGCAGCACACACGCCACCATAATATTCCTTTTCAAGTCCCTAATAAGGACTAGTCATTTTGCTACAGTACTAGGAGCAGTCAGTCACCCGACCACCCCATACAATGCTTATGCATCAAGGAGACCTCCTATAATATTGCTTTTGTATCATAGACCTTACTTTCATAAGTCATGTATATATAGGATTCGAACCCACGACCCTACTATTGTAATGCATATTAATCATAGAGACCTTCTATAGTATTGCTTTTGTATCATAGACCTTACTTTCATAAGTCATTCATATATAGGATTCGAACCCACGACCCTACTATTGTAATGCATATTAATCATAGAGACCTTCTATAGTATTGCTTTTGGATCATAGACCTTACTTTCATAAGTCATTAATATATAGGGTTCGAACCCACGACCCTACTATTGTAATGCAAATTCATCATGGAGACCTTCTTTAGTATTGCTTTTGTATCATTGAGTTTAATATCATAAGTCCCTAATATAGGACTAGTCATTGTGCTACAGTACTTCAGGCAGTCGGGCTCCCGACCACCCCATATATATGTACAACTGCAGGTATGTACCTCCGACAGCTTCCTCCATACAAGACATCTATACGTGAACTCCTTCCACAACTTAGAAAAAAAATTTCTTTTATACACGAACACCTCCCATGACTTTTTTTAACAATTTTTATAATTATCTTATAAACGTTACTTAACTTAATTTTATAATATTTTTTGACTTGTATTTCTATTATTTATCTTATTTTAAATATTTTTTCAAGTTTTTAAATAAATTTATTTATTACGAAAAACAATAATTTTGCCTTTAATTTACTATGTTATTGGGATAGTGTCTGAAATATATTAACTTTATGTTTATTAATTTAACTTAATTGCTTAATATATATCTTTTAAGACTATTTTTGACGCCCCTTTATATTGAATTTAATTATTAATAATAATATTGGGCCGTCACACTATGTTTTGGCTCAAGATTCATACTGTGCGAGTCTCAATGACAGTAGTTGTTATGCCCAAGTATTGAAAAAGTTAGCTGCATTTAATACCTAAGTGTTATGGTCGATCATAGGCTCACCTGGTATAGTCAATTTAAAACGATTATTGGGAGGATTCGTAAGCTTATCTTTAAAAATCTAAGGTATGTTATGTTATATTTAATATTTGCGTTGTCTTTGGACATTCCGTACTCACATACTGTATTTTTGTTTGAGGTGGTGCAACTAAAACTAAATTTATTCACTTTAAACCGTATTGATATTCAACACATGAACTTTATTAAATCTTGTAGACTCTTATCAGTACGGAAATTATATATTTTGATATTTCTTCTTTACCTTCACCAAGAACTACCTTTCGACTGCAGTAAAACTAATATCAATAAAAGACGTATGGAATATGTTGCACCATCTCGTACAGTACGCACTGCCTTTGCTCGCCGTCAACTGACATTACGGTCGGCTTACTTATAAAATAATCTAAATCGAGAACTAAATATATAACCATTCAGGCTATATATTTAGCTGTCGATTTAGATTATTTTATAAGAGAACTAAATATATACCCTTAAAGGTTATATAACTGTAAATGATATTAACTAATTTCTTATCAAAAAGAAGTTATGATGAAACAATAAAACTAATATATACAATTGTGTAAGTTTTATACTCACACACACATATTATGCTTATCACATACATGCACACCCTCACACACATACCCACACTTGCATAACCTCTCTGCACAGTGGCTAATCCCGATCCTAAGACTGAAGTAGTAGGGCTGACAGAAGGACACACACACACACACACACACACACACACACACACACACACACACTCACACACACACACACACACACACACACACACACACACACACACACACACACATCTTGATTGTATCGAATTAATTATTAATAAATTATCATACGTTCTTGTTCAAAATGAAAATCAACATACTTGGTTATTGCAAAATGTATATAAGATAAAACACAAAATAAAACGGTAAATGCACACTGTGTCACTACATAAAGCAAATGGAAACCTTTTTTTCTGCTAGATATACATGTTAGAATTAGCAACAATATTACATAACAAAAAATTATGTAAGTGTTGTCTTTTAAAAGTATAGTTTAACCACAATAACTTACAATCAACTTTTATGTTTATGTATCCAGTCCCTTAAATTCCGAGGCAAGCCTACTCCCAAAATTAAAATTATATAAATGTTTTTCATAAGAAAACTATGATTTCAGAGATAATTTTTATTCTTTTTTACAGATGTACATTTATTTTGGCAGTAAGTGTACCCAATCGTACATTATCAAAATCACTGGTTTTCCCTTCATTCTTACAAAATAAATCTAATGCAACAGTTTGATTCTTAGGTTCGCATTATTCATCATGTAGTGGGTGTTAAAACCACAATTATAGTCAATAATATACCTATCAACACAAATTATTCATAAATAGTTTAGAAGTTAGAAGTTACGAAAATGTGTGTTAAACAGATAATGTGTTTACTTTCAATTACAATAGCTTCTATAGCTTCCTTGCCAATTAAAAATGTTATTATAGATGCTCCAAATATAGCAAGTGAAGCACCAGCCACTATAGCAAATATCACTGATCAGGAAATAATGAAGCAATTTGATGCAGACCGTATAAACAATACAAAATTATTATTGAGAAACCAAGTGAGGCCAGGAATGTCGGTAACAAGCTACGCAGTGAAAATCGAAGCTAACATAAATGCCGACACTTTTACTGGAAGACTTGCGGCTCAAGTTATAATAGACGATCACAGTACCAGAGAAGATGATATTGTTTTTCAAGTTCATGATTTGACGGTTGACTCTGTAACGTTTTCTTTTGCTGGTGGAAGCGTTTTTCTGCCCGCTGATTTCAACATAGATGATGACAATGAGTTATTAGAAATTAGTACGGGCTATGAAGCGACTCTTTACAGTTTTATAATCGAATATAGAGGTTCTCTTAGTATGATCGGTGATGGACTTTACACAGGAAGATATGGTAATGGCGAGTAAGTATTTTATCATTGGTTTTACTTATTTATTTACGTCAAATAACTTAAAACGTGTACATTATTAAAAAGAACAAAAATTAAGTATTTTAGTAATAGTAAAACTATCAAAATACTCGCTTAAAAATCACTTAAATATCACTTAGAATAAGTTTGTATTTTTTAGTATTTTTTACTCCTCTCTTTCTATGATAACAATAATAAAAATCGTTTGATAAGCCTCAGATTATGAAAATATTATTTTAAAAAAATCATCATCAGTTGTTGTTATTAAAATTATTATAAAATTTAAGAAAGTGTTTTGATTTATAATCATTTAAAAGCATGCTGCAGTTATATTAGTACGAGTAGTGTAGATGTTGCAAGAATGGCTCGGCTCGACCGGAGGACACGTTCTCACAGAATACCAGCGTAAAATAGTAGCTTAATGCTGCTGTGTTTCGTATGGTGAGTGTAGAGATCCGGAGACCCTTTTTATTGAAAATAAGGCATTCCATCTTAGTCCTCACGGGTGACAACGCATCTGCATTTTGATTTGTAATAGAGGATAGATGTAGATATCTATGGGCCGCAGAAACCACTTTTTATCAGGTGGGCTGTGTGCTCGTTTGTCACCATATCATTAAAAATATAAAAAAGCATTTTTGCACTTAATTCTAGAAATAAAATTATTTAAAAATATTTATCATACCTCTTTAAAACATTGTTAACTAAAATATACCATGTAATATATACCATGTCCTTTGGTGCGTTATTCTCCACTTGGTTGAATAAGTTTTCATACATATGTGTTTATGTCGTGTCCAGTGGTTAATTCGTTCAAGCTTTTGACTTTTTGAGTACCTATTCCCCCTTCCCTGTGTGCTTCCGTAGCGATAAGACGCGTCAGTGGATTAAGAAAAATAATCATTTTTTAAATAGTTAATTGTTCGAAAATATTAGGAGCGCATAACGTATCACACTCAGATCCGTAATACTGTGTTATGCTTGTGTGATGTAAATAAAAGTGAGCAGTCAACATAGTTCGTTCGTGGTTTGTGTTTGTGAGAGTGAAATAGATATACATCTGTGTATGTATTTATACTGTGTCTGTACTAAGTGCAAATTATACGTATTAATTCTTCTGCTGCCCTGGTACTATTCGACAACTAGCTAACAGTAACGTAATGTATCGTACACCGCCTCGCTCTGACTCGGAGCCTGAGCTATCTAGCGCTAAAAGACATGTTTCATGCAGGATAAAGCGCAAGCGCGATGACGAGCAAACCGATTACATTAATATAAAGGACTATATGGACGAAATCAAAGAAATGTTTTCAACTCAAATATACTGCAACAAGAAGCGAAATTTAATTCAATTGATAAGTCCATTAAAGATATAATTTTAACTAACCAATTAAAAGAAAAAAAACTATCTTCGTTGGAAAACACCTTAAAGGAAATAAAAGATCAAAATGTTGATATTTTTAAGTCACTTGAATTCATATCGAGTAAATATGAGGATATGCGAGAAAAAATGGAAATCCTAGAAGCTGACCGCAAGGCTAGCTTGACCTGCATCAAAGCACTAGAAGACAGGATTGAAGGCTTGGAGCGCAAAGCCCGATCGTGCAGTATTGAAATGAGAAATGTTACCCAAAATCAGCCAAAACTTAAGCGGGATCTCCATAATATCGTAAGAAAGGTTTGCACGGAGCTCAATGTCACAATTGAAGATAGAGAGATACGGGATATTTTTAGGCTTAAATCTAAGTCTAAATCGTCTACGCCTAACCCTATAATAGTTGAATTTGCCAACTTCAACATAAAGGAGGAAATTCTAACCTCAATGAAAAAGTACAGGAAGAATAAAAAATCACTTACAACCGAGAATCTAAAGATAGCAGGTCCCCCAGCTATTGTGTACATTTCGGAGAATCTAACTCCGAAAATTAAGCGATTATTTTACATAGCTCGGAATTTTGGCCATGACAATAACTATAAATACATATGGACGAGTCAAGGTAATGTCTACATACGCAAAGCAGATTCCAGCCCGGCCATACGAATCAACAGTGAGGTGGACCTTGACAAGCTCAAAACTAAAAACTGACTATGTAATGTTACAATACCGTTATCTTGGCTAATACTTATTACATTTTTTCAACTTTATATAGTATGTTGCAATGTTATTCATGTATTTCTCTTATTGATTTCTGTTAATTGCGTACTTTTATTGATTTCTGTTAATTGCGTACTTTGCTTAAACACTTACACCATTACACAACAATATAAACTATTCGCACATAAATATGACTCGTTTAAATATTGTTTTAAATATTATATATTACTACACTACACTTATCATATTCCTAAAATATTGCTCTATTACCTTTATATTAAATTTAAATATCATTATTTTGTTAAATCATACCTTAGGCAGCTTAAATGTTACGATTCTATAATAAAATTCACACATGAAATAATTTTATTAACGCTTTTATCGACTAACAACATGAATGACTATTTATATTTTATGTTTATCATAACATTATTGCTACTTATAGTTGTTACGGACCGGTTTTTTAATATGTTACAGTTTAACAATGAATTTAGTTTTTTATCTCTTTACGTAATTATGCACGAATATTTAGAAAATCAGTCTAAAATTGTTGATGGTAGCACAAATTTGTGTCTAAAGGTAACGACAATTGTTTTATCATCCAAATTTACAACTACCCACCTTGTTCCCATAAATTATGCATTGGAATTTTTAACAGTTAAACTTTAATTCTATAGATACTATCGTTATGGACGATATTGAAGAATCGGGCCATATTGCGTGTACCAGAGTGGGAGTTCCAACCGATTTAGACTTATTATCAGTCGGAAAGAATTCCATTACGATTCTTACTGTTAATATACGCAGTATTAATGCTAATTTCGATAGTCTTTTGATATTTTTGTCCAAATTTAACTTTACAATTGATGTGCTCGTATTAACTGAATGTTGGACAAATAAATATTATATACCACCTAACATTCACGACTACAAAATGTTTCAAACTCTTATTAATCTTAATAAAAACGACGGTGTGGTTGTTTATGTTCGGAATGAACTTGAGTCAACAGCCTATGAGCCGTGTCTTATCGATGGTAATTGTTTAGTAATTGACCTAAAAGATACTCTCTCTGTGATTTGTACATATCGTCCTCCATGTTATAAAAATCCTTTGAATTATATCAACTCTCTGGATGATATTTTAAATAATTGTCGTAATAAACGTGATATTGTTTTAACCGGTACATTAATCTTGATGTTATGCCAGATAATCTTAATAACTACTCAACTGCATATTTAAATCTTATGGCTACGTTCGGACTTAAACAAGGTGTAAACAGTCCAACTCGACAAAAAACCTGTTTGGATCATTTCATGGTTAAATCTTATGCTAAATGTCAAACATATGTTTTTGACGAATTTACAGATCATTCTCCTATTTTTTTACATATGAATTTTACTAAAGTATGTAGAAAAACACAAATGCTTAATAAAGTAAAAGTTGATCTTGCTGGCGTACAAAAAATGATGACGGCTGAGTCTTGGGATGACTTATACTCAACTAAAGATGTAAATCTTGCAGCACAGATTCTGACATCAAAATTAGAAAAAGCTATTAAGGACAACACAATTACTAGTAAAATATCTAAACGTAAAATACCACTCAAGCCTTGGATTACTGTGAGAATTGTTAATTCAATTGGAAAGAGAGATAAAATGTATAAAAAAATTAAAAAAAAGATTTAAATAATGACCAATTGGGACACACATACCGAAACTATCGTAACACATTAAATAGGTTAATAAAACAATTAAAAAGAAATTATTATAAAATGTTATTAGAAAAAAATAAAGGAAATATGAAAGAAACTTGGAATACAATAAAGGAATTATGTAATATGGAAAAAAGGAAAGAATCTTCTTCAGATTTACTCAAAAAAGGTTTAAATACTACTCACTCTCTTGACAAGGTTAACAGGTTTTTCGTAACTGTTGGTCATAGTCTTGCAAATGATATCTTATCCAAACTTAACACTACTGACAGTTCTCTTTCTCTATTGGCAAAATGCAAAGATGCACCAAATGGGTCAATGTCCGTCTACCTAACTGATTCAGTGGAAGTTTCAAGCGTCATCTGCAGTCTTAAATCTAGTAACTCATCAGGATATGATTGTATTACGTCCAAAATTTTAAAAGACAACATAAAATATATTTCGGAACCTCTTGCATATTTAATTAATTTGACATTTGAATATGGTGTTTTCCCCAAAATCTATAAAAATGCAATTGTCTGTCCCATATATAAATCTGGAGATAAATCTTCACCGATTTCACTTTTAATCACAATGTCTAAGGTTCTCGAAAAAATATTTAACAAGCGATTAATGAACTATTTAGAAAAGAATGGGCTTTTAGATAAAAACCAATTTGGTTTTATTGCCAACAGGTCCACAGATGACGCTGTCCTCCAACTTACTACAAATATTACACGTTATCTTGATAAAAATGAAAAAGTAATGGGAGTATTCCTGGACCTTCAGAAGGCATTCGATACCGTATCTGTTCCAATATTATTAACACGTTTAGAAAATATGGGAATCAGGCGAAATGCACTTATGTGGTTCTAGGACTACCTTTCGGATAGAAAGCAACGTGTTAAAGTTAATGGCTTATTAAGTAATGAATTCAGCTCCTCTTACGGTGTGCCACAAGGCAGTACACTCGGGCCAAGTCTTTTTTTAATTTACATAAACGATCTGTGTAAAACTAATCTCAAGGGTGCTGATATTCAAATGTTTGCCGATGATACAGTCATACTGTTTCATGGCGAGTCTTGGGAACATGTACATCGTCTTGCTGAAAACGGTCTTCGTACTATTACATCATGGTTAGAAAATAGCTTGCTAACACTGAACACAAGTAAAACAAAATATATGTGTTTCAGTAAAACTAATATGAACTCACCCAAATCTTTTAGTTTACAAATCCATTCTTACCCTTGCAATCGACAAGTCAATACCAATAATAAATCATGTGCTTGCTCATTAATTGAAAGAGTAAAAGTTATTAAATATCTAGGAATAACTATTGATGACAAGCTCAACTGGAAACAGCACATAAAATCTGTTGCTAATAGACTCAGGAAATTAGTGTATATGTTTAGAGAATTGCGCACTGTTTCAGAACCTACACTTTTAATAAAAATTTATAAAGCACTTGCGGAATGTTTACTTACATATTGTATATGTTCGTGGGGGGCAGCAGCAAAAACAAATTTAATAGAACTGGAACGAGCACAAAGATCTCTCCTCAAAGTAATATTATACCTTCCATTTATGCATTCAACTACTGAACTATTCAAAACGGCAAACGTACTCTCTGTGCGTCAATTATGTATCTATAATTGCATTAAAAAATACCATAAACTTGCGGTACCGTATCTACCCTCCACTGGAAAAAGACGAGAACGTTTCACAGCTGAGCGTGTGAGATGTAAGATTGCTCGACAGCATTATCAATTTCAGGCACCAAGACTTTACAATTACTTTAGTGTAAATAATAAAGTGAGAAACCTGTCTATATATCAACTTAAATCCAAAGTTTTATTATGGTTGCGTAAGTTGACATACAATGAGACGGAAAATCTGTTAAAAATAATTCAATAGTACGGGTCATTTCCCATCAAGTATACTAAAAACACACATATACACACTCACCCGGGCACACGAACACACACACACACACACACACACACACACACACACACACACACACACACACACACACACACACACACACACACACACATACACACACACAAACGCACACACATGCACAAACACATTTACACATACACACGCAACATGTACGGACCATGGATGCAACACACATATTCATGCATATTTTTATTATTATTTTTTTTTAATTTTTTTCTCGGCTTTGTAAAAATTGTATTTATTTTTGTTACCTTGTTCTGAGTTGTGATAAGCTGATAAACCATTTTGTAATTGTAATTTAATGGAAATGGGAAGGAACTGATTCCCGACACACAGCTATTGCTAGTTCGGGAGTCAGGGCTTCAACTTTGTAGTGTCAATATGGTTTTATTCAATAAATAAATTTATTATTATTATTATTATTACCAGTGCTTAATATACGTGACTACTGAACGCGACTACTATACCACCTAGTGGTAAGTGATAATATTGGATTAGATAGTAAATCGCTCTGAAAACACCCAGATTGTAATTGGACAGAAAGACTGGCAAATTGTTCTATATCTTTACTGTACACAGAGACGAATCAATGCATTTAGTTCGAATTTATTGAATGTCAACTACAAAGACCCGCCGAGTGGTAAATTATATTAAAACATGTCATTTCTGCAGAAATAGAAACAGAAACAGAAGCTTTTTATTCAATATAGATTATAAACAATACTTATAGAAAGTCACTCTATTACTTAATTTACTATTGGTTCTGAAAAAAAACTCTGTCTCAGAAAAAAAACAGCAAAAACCAAATCGGACTTATAAAAAAATAACAGCTAACAATCATGTATGTTACATAAATAACATCACAAAACCAATCAGAAATAGCATGATAGTGATCTCCTCATTCCCAGGGGTTATTATTATCCATAGATTCCTTAATATATTATAATAACCCTTTTTATACACTATTTCTCTGAATTTATTCTTAAGAATACAGAGTATTTCAATCATAGCTTTTCTTTTGGGCTGGTTTTGGTCCTGACTGCTCCACGTATTTAGCTGATGTATTTTCACAATAGTACTGTATCTGTATGACTATAGCTGCATATCATAATTATTTAGCAGGAAGAGAGTTTCAGATAGAACCTATCCAATCAGACCAGGAAGATAATCCGTACGTCAGAACAAAGAGAACCAAATACATTCATTCATTCTGTCGAAACGTTGAGTAAAATGGCATTGGCCTCCTCACTATTCTGGAGGATCCCGCACCAAATGATAGTGATATAAGCTAGAAGTTCTGGTTCTCATACTACAGATATCGGCGAAACCTGTATTGGCAGTCGCTAAGGATTTCATTCTGCTCTCGGTATGCCATGAAGTCATCGTTCATTATACGCTGCACTATCTTATATGGTATAAAGGTAATTGAATTTGAGCGAGAGTCGGTAAGGTCAACATGGCTGCTTTTTTGGTTAAAAGCTGCACGTTAATTAGCTTCCAAGACTTGGACACTATTTTAGTAACAAATGAGAGGTGGATCAAGCACGACAGCACGGAAGAACACTCAGGTGCGTGAGATATTAAAACTATAACTGATACACTATCTGGGTCACTATTTTGGCTCACGTCTAGATCTCTTAACTTTAACCATCTACACGCCAGTTGAAAGCAAAAATAGCCGCGAACAAATCCGTTTTCATCTAGGCTTACTTGCGGAAACAGGTCGTACTTTATACCGCCCATCTAGGCCTAATGCCTTTAAAGGCATTTTTTTTTTGCAATCTCAAGTACAGACTCAGGAAGAATACGCTATATGTTTTTTATTTTAAGCTCGAACCCACTTGTTGTTTTGGTTGATTCAAGAATATCAAGAGCTTGTCTATTCTAGCAATACATTGTAGAGAAAGGGAATTATAAAGATGACTGAGACGCAGTCCACTGCCGGAAATATATCTCTTCCCTCTACCGCTTAATATAATAAAGTTTTAGTCTCTCTCCATATATTCCAAAAGTCACAAAACATTTAAGGCGCCAATGTGAAGAATTGCTCTCTTAAAAGTTTTTGATAAGCATATATAAAATACTTCAAGATAACGTCAGTAATATGAGTTGAAGGAATGTAGGTTTGTGATAATTTATTTACAAATAGGAAGCGGCAAACTTAAAAAATAGTTAATGTGAATTAAGTAACTTTTAAAATATGAAACCCACATTAACAGCAAAAAAATTCCACATAGCTGTACTACCACATAGTCGGTACTACGTGGAATTTGTAGTATAATATGTGTAAGGATATCATGCCTACATTGTCCCGTGGGTATCGTAACAGGCGACACAGGGAAACAAACCAAGAAATGGACAGACGAGTCCTCCTAATAATAAAAAAACGGCGGTTGCCAATCCGGCAATAAGGCAATCTGTGAAAAGGCCTACTAAAATGGGCCTAATAAAATACGTGTTGAGTATAGTAACTTCTAGTTTTTGTAACTTGCTTAATTATTTAATAAGGTTAGCTTAAAACCATATACTTGTAATGTCAGTGTATGTATTTGATTTTTTTAAAACTAGCTTTTCGCGAATACGGGTAAAGATGGGGAATTTGAATTTTACTGTCTTTGTTTTGTGACTCAAGTTAACGATTTAAATATTTTTTTAAGATTTCTTACCATTTGTGCGAAACGCAGCTTCGAAAACTAATTCGTCTTAATTATGATAGTCTATATAATAAGTTTTTTTTATGTTTTTTTTAATAAAAATGTATTAATTATTAATAATGATTAACGGTTCTCACTTTCAGTTAATAAAAATAGACAAACAAACGGCTCTATATTTATTTTACTTTTAAAATTAAAATTAAAATGTTATTTAAAGTAAATAAATGAGGTAGATGAGGTACACAAGTAAACATATTATGTTTTAAGTAGTACTTGGACACTACATTTTGAGAGCATATGAATCGAAGAAAACCATATTATATCGGATGCTAATTCAAAAATGAAACAAATGTACATAATATTTTGTCGTTTAGTTGGATTAATATACTAAAGAACACCACTGAAATCACCCAATAAATATCCCATCTTTGACGTTAGTATCAAACTAAAAACTAACACTTAAAATATTTTTATTTTATCTCTTTTATCCCAACTTCTGACATTATCTACATCTATCTTCAGCAGTCCACTTACGAAATCTTTATTCGCATATTGCATTGTGAACTGATCGTGTGTAATAGTGTTAAAAGTAGGCATAACGTAGTGTAGTCTATATGTTACTCGACCAAAATGGCTCGCAGGATAAGAAAATGGACGCTCGCTGTTTTTCTTCCTATTTTTATAATAAACGTGTTTGTGGAACCTTTACCAATATCTCGTGAAATATTGAAACCCGTACTAGACATGACTTTTCCTGAAACTGCCACCGAAAACACAAATTTTAAAACTGATCTAAACCACGATCACCTTGCAACAGAAGTTATTCAAATCGAAAATACTGTAGAAGAAATAAGAAATGTTACAAGAAACGTAAGACCCGGACAAGTAGTGGGAAACTACGCAATTGAAATTTCACTTAACGGTAACGGTTTCAGTGGAAGAGCTCTAATGGATGTTCGCTTGGATATTGACAGTAGAGAGGATCCAATTGTTTTTCACATTGAAGATTTACAAATACAGAGGGTTCTAACGGGCGTATTTACAGATGTCAATGCCGTTGACACCGATTTTTTTTTCGATGATTCTATATTAGAAATATTTCCAGCACAAGTGGCCTCTACCTATGTTGTCATTATAGAATACACAGGACAACTGAGTAATAACCCATTCGGACTATACGAAGGACATCACTTTGACACGTAAAATCTACTGCATACATTATTAATATAATTTATCTATAATTTAGTACTTTAAAATACAATTAGTTTTAAGACATTAAAAATGTCTTTTGACCTTTTATTTACATTTATTTGTGTGTATGTTTGGCGTAGGATAGTCCAACAGTCTATTTCATTCCATGCGCATTTAAAGAGGCGACTATGAGAAAAATCATAAAATATTATGGTTTATACGGTACGATGTTAATACGATGGTACTATCTATCTAGCTAATCTTCCAAAAAAACGAGAGAGACTCATCACTGCGCCACTTAATAAAACCCTTGATTGCGTCTTAGAAATTAAATTTATATTTTAAACGTCAATCTTATTACGTAAACTGGAAACAATTCCTTTAGGCTGGTTATTAAAGATCATTTTAACTGTCTATAAATTTATTGATAAAATTTAGGTAATTATACTTAAGAAGAATAACTTTTAGAGAGCAAACACAAAAACACAAATCACAAAAGCCTTAGCCTAAATAACTAGAAGCTCGCAACTGGTATTAATTATCAGTTAAACTTATTGCTATTGAGAAAATAGATGTTTTTTACTTGACTGTCTTTACATTCGTATTTTTATTTATGTTTTAGCACCTACTTAGCGATGAACTTACATCCGGCTAACGCAAGACGCGTATTTCCTTGTGTTGACGAGCCTTCTGAAGCTACAACAATTAGTTTTACTTTTAACAACGTGCAGTATGACCACATGGTAATGAATTCAATGTTGGAAGAAGGCAGCCAGTAAGTGCAACAGAATTTATTGATATTGCTGAATTGTATTAATTTCTTTACATTATCCGTCCAAACTCACCTAGTCAACACTCTTTTTGATTGACCATTGCGGATGTGTATGTATTAAAGTTTGACCGTTGGTTTACATCGAGTACAACTGTCGGAGTAATATTTCTGACGTTTTATTATCTTATGGTTGCAACACAAAAAAATCCAATTAGAATAAAACTTCTTAAGCATATTAAAATGGGTGGAAAGTATTTTATAATTCTATAAATATACGACTTTTTTCTTCTATCATTAAATCTGCTAATTATGGATGTCGCACTTATTTAAAAATAATCTTACTCTTTTAGCTTATATATAAATATAAAACAATTATTATTACGAAATTGATTTAATAAATATGCATTTTAACAAATATACAATAACATAAATAAATTACACGCAAGAATAAATTTAAAGGATATAATTATCCAAAATTTATGAAAGTTCACTAAAATAGGGGATTATTTTTAAAGAGTATCCAAATTTTATTTATAGGTTTAAATATATAAAATAATGATAAACTGATAGACAACAGTCATGATTATAAAAAATTAATTTTAAACTTTCAAATTCTATAGTTATATACCTAATCACAGTATAAAAAGATACTTCCTTGTTTTCAGAACACAATTTAGGGCTCTACAGGGTCCACCGCACTTATGGGGTATGGTAGCCCATAACCTAAATAATATTTACTATCCTACTCAAAACGTGTTACTTCATGGACGTCGAGAAATATCTAACCAAGAAGCTCAGGCTTCTATTGCAATAAACCATTACTACCATGCACTCAATGAATGGACTAACAAACCCTATTTAGAAATAATTCTTAATCAAGATGGTAGAATGAACGTCATTGCTTTACCTGATTCTGATAGAGATTGGTACGCTCTATCGACAGTTTGTATATGGTAAGTTTAAAAAAGATCATTATGTTGCTAGCTTTTTCATCCTTGCACCACAGTCTATAAAACGCACCGGTGAACATTAGTCTCTCCAATATATTGCCTCATCGGAAAGATTTTTCTATGGTTATTTTGACCCGTTATCATCAGAAAGATGATACTATTTTTCGTTTTAATTTCAATGTCTCCCACGGGACAAAATGAGGAAGCGGATATTCTAACACCCCCACTACACCATTTGTTTATTCGTTACGAGTATTTTATGTCAATTTAAGATTTATAAAATATTATATTACCAGTACTGATCGAATGTTGCGTTATTGATAAAATATATAAATCCTTTTACATCGACTAAACTATCAGATTTTTCAGTAAACTTCGGAAATCACATAAGTATAAAAATGTAATTGCAAATGTTAGTTATGAACATAGAACTCGTTAACCAGTTATGAACATAGAACTCGTTAACTATCGTATTATAGTAGAAGTAAGATAAGCAGTTATGCCCAAAAATAAAATTAGTTCACATTTAAAAGTTTTGCGTTTTAAGTACCTTATGGACGTAATACAATATCTGCTTCTTATTCAAAATTATTTTAAAAGAACGTAAATTCTTGATTATCAGTATGTAAGATAAATAATCTTCTCATGGATTTTAATATCAGTTTCACGCTATCAAATTCTTGAGTAGACTTGGAAACAACGTGTATAAAATTGAGGCAGCTTTATCATCAGCGCTGTTTCTGAGAACTTACACAATCATGTCTATTGCTCTTTTCTCACATACATAATATATTTTAAATATAATGATTATATTAACAAAAAATTGCACTTAATCTTACATGTTTTTTTATACAACACAACGACATTTAGTTAAGGAGGATACAGTACTCGTCATATAGGTTAGGTAGGCAAAATGACCTATCCTATAGAACACGTATGAGCTATTGACCCTTGTAATGTTGTTTTTGTCGAATGCTGCTTTTGCTAGACTGTTTTTGTTCTTCCACTAATTATAAAAATCAAAATTGAGGTCCAAAAGATTTCTAAGCTGAGTGTAAGTTAAATCCTTTTTGAATTACTAGCACTTACCACCAGGGGTATCGTAGGCAATCACTCGTTTACATTAACTACTATGTCCATTATTATCTTATCGATGTTGATACCACGTTCGACTCTGGATTAACCTATATATACGATTTGGATCATCATAGGGCAATTTTAATATATTATATTATTTTAATTAATTATATTATTTTACCAATAGATTTAACAAAGAAAAGGACATTTCTAGAGACATACTTCTTAATGGCAAGCAAAATTGTACTAAAAATATAATATAAGTTCCAAAATTTCTTAAATGTTCTTTTAATATTATAGCAATAAATTTAATTTCAACATAATATAAAAATCAATTATAGTCTAAAGTTTTCGATTTTTGCCAAGCGAAAGTATAAATTTAAATGGGATATAGTTGTGAAATTTGTATTTCTTGAATTTTTTTGTATTATTAATAATATTAAAAAACAAAATATTACATTTAAGGGAACCATATGTATTCATGGAATTAACACATTCTGTAAAACAAAGACATGTTGGGCTCGTCAAGCTGGCTGAGGCGATGGCAAGGCAATGGTTTGGCTACGTCATACACCCTGAGAACTGGAGGCATCAGTGGGTTATTAGCGGTCTTGGAACATATGCTGCTTATGAAGTATTTAAAGATGTAAGTTACAGAACGACAATAGTGTTGAATATAATAGAATAAATTTAATCCTATTGAAAGAATATACAACAAGATGTATGTATACACACACACACACACACACACACACACACACAATATATATATATATAGCGAGCGTGTAGCCTCTATAAATTAATACATATTTTTTCTTACAAAACAATTCCACCTTGCAGTTTCAAAATGGCGCTCTGGACATCGACAATACGTTGTTAGATGTAAATACATTGTTTGTAACAGAGGTTATACAGGAAAGCCTTCTTCGTGACGCTTACGTTAATAGTGAACCTCTAGAGGCTGCAGAAGACATTTTTGAGAAAGAAGTTATCAGGGATAATATCAACGGATTAATAAAATATAAATCTCCAGCGGTGTTAAGAATGTTAAGACTTATACTTGGTGGCCCTGATGATGATTTTATAATGAAAGCTGCTAGAGCGCTACTAAATAGCAGGTAAAGCTAACCCCCTACGTAATAAACAACATATGTAAACAATGTGCTTATTGTCACTTTGTTCAATGACAATAAGCACGTTGTTTACACATGTTTGAGCATTGCAACCATATATTTTATTACTTATTGTGAAAATAAAGAAAATATACAAAAAATTGATTTATTGCTTAACAGCGATTTATTCCTGAGAAACCTTAGTAATGGAGATTATTCATTATATCGAATATGAATACTTAAGAAAGAGACAACAATTGGAAATAGGATAAAGAAAATACAATAACAAAATATATTAAATAGTACACAGAATCAGATCTTTCATTAGAATTATGAATAACTAAATATTCTAAGCTCATAGTTTACTAAAGTTGTCGCAATTGCAATTGCCCTGGTTGTTGCAGGATTCTCATTGCACATGTTCGTAGGCGGCGGTAATCTCACAACATAAGGCGAGCCGCATACTCGTTTGTCCTCTCTTATATAAAAAATACTTCTTGATATTTAGGGGAATAGATAAATATACAATTTTATTCCCTATTAATATTTTATTGTTTTATGATCGTAATAATTTATATAACTTAAACTTAAAATTTAATTTATAACATTGAATTTAAACTCTACTTACAGATCATTGCAAACTGTTAACTCTTTGAACTTCTACGATGCGATCAACAGCGAGTGGCTATTTGGTGGCAACGATCTAATAGAAAATATACAAGGTTACCTAGATCCGTTGGTGCAGACAACGGGTTATCCAACGATTCACGTAGGTTTAAGGCAAGGCGGAGTCCTCGTTACACAAGTGAGCATGTGAATTTATTGAACATGATGTTTACTCAATTACGATATAGGTAAAAAAAATTGAATATGCCATTATTAATTGAACACGCCTAGTGACTGCTGTAAACTGCTTGATCATGGGGTTGTAAAACCGTTGGTCTTGCGCCTGATCTCTCTCCGGTCCGAATTATGTGAATATATATTATTATATATAAATTACGTGTCACGTTGTTTGTCCGCGATGGACTCCTAAACTACTCAAAAGATTTTAATAAAATTTTCACACCGTGTGCAGTTTGGTCCAACTTGAGAGATAGGATAGTTTTCTTGACCATGAGTGTCTCACAACTTTTTTGCGAATTTAAGGATTTTCAATAGGACATAACAAGGGGTCGTCAAAAAGGGCAGAACAACGTCTGCCTGTCAAGCTGGTATATACAAATATGGTTACTTCCGAGTTAGCTCGGTATACGTTCTAAGTTCTAAGGAAAAAGGTGATAAGCGCATGAGTGGCAGACAGCGTGGGAATTGGAGTAAAGATTCCGCGCGGGTCTTTATTATACTGGGTGATTTTCTTTTTCCGTCTGAAAAAAATAGGATGTGACAGGTGAACGGAATAGAAGCCTATGGCACTGGTAATAATAATTGTAATTTTATTTTCGGTACTAAAAAAATAACAACAAAAATTTTGGCCTAAGTAAATAAATCAATTAAAAACTATCGAAATTAAAATAACACGTACCCAATTGGTCGTATTATAGATAGATGTGTTTCAAATATGTTAATGTAAAATAAAAAAATTAAAAATATCTGTACCATATTCTTCTTCTTAGGCTTCTATTCCGTTCAACTGTTACACCCTATTTTTCTCCAGACGGAAAAAAAATCAGCCTGTATATTAGTGGGTATTTTCACGCGAGTCTTCCTGTGTTTCTGTATACAATTATGCCGTATCAAAAGTGCACTGCTGAAGGCCTATACCTATGCCATAGACTGCCTCATACATATACCACATATCATAGTAATATACCCATATTTGCCATAGCTGCCAAGCTTGGCAGGTGGATGAGCAACCGTATTTTGTAACTTTTGTTATTATTAGGAAAACTCTACTGCCCATCCCCTAGTGTGTTTCATTCTGGGAACTCTTACGACACACTCGAAACGATATGGGTTTGTTTCTGTGAAATCCGATATGTCAGTTTCTTCGTCACTTGTTCGTTAATCGTTACATCATCGTCATTATTACGTACTTTCATAACTCCAGTCCTGAACATAGGCTCGTCCAAGAAATGTCACAACGTGTCCTGAGCCACCTTACATCAATCGACTATACGCATTTCTTCGTCGTCAGATCGTCACCTCATCTAGTTATCATTATGTTTACTTATTATAATATAATTTCAGGAGCGGTTTTCATTTTCACCCGTAGACCATATAAACTATTTGGTGCCTATAACATATACGAGTAGTATCAACCCAAATTTCGATTCTGATAATATTTACCCCGTAATGATGATGGAAGCCACTACAACTCTAAATATGGTTTTAGATGATGAAGATTGGGTTTTATTTAACATTCAAGGTCAAGGTAAGTCACATAAAATAAATAAAGGGTAGAATTATGGATGCCTAAGATTCTTTTATAAGACAAATGTCATTTCACACCAAAACTTGTAACACTTTTTAAAATAGCGGTACAAAAAATAACTCTATTTACTACACAAAAAGATACGCATTTTACTGAGATCATTCGAAAATGCGTCGCAGCGTCATGCTGCGCCTCGAGATGCCTCGTGACGTCACGCTGCGCCTCGATATGCCCGCGGCGTAGCACGACCGTGCTGTCGTCGTCCTGTAACCGTCGTGGCGACTTGTTTTTGCTATTCGCGTTGCCAGCGACTTCACGATGTGCCTCGCGACACGTTTAGCGGGTTGTCATCGTAATTTTTTTTATTATTTTGAGTTATTATCAGGAAGATTCACCTGTTTCAATCTCTCTCAGTCGCCTCTTAAGCCTTTCAGTAATGGAACATAATTTTAAAAATAGATGACTTATAATATTCTGTCTTGTTGTTTAGTTTATTATTTTATTTAATTGAACAATTATCTATTTATTAAATATATTTAATCTGTATTTTTCATAATCTTCACAGGTTATTATCGTGTCAATTATGATGCGGATTTATGGGAGAGAATAATAGAAGCACTTGTGGATCCAGATCGTAGAGAAGTAATACATCCATTGAATCGTGCTACTGTAAGTGGATATTTGCGGAATTGTAATATAGGTAGATCGTAATATCAAGAGTGCACCTGTGCTTGCTTAGAATTATAGTATACCAGTGGGACCACACTCGTACACTACATAATGTCATCTGCTTATGATAGCTTAACAGTATGACTACTACTAAGCGACTAGGCTCCGTTGGGATTGACTACCGTAACTGAAAATCATGTCTCACAGATTTTAATTAAAATATAGTAATATCACTGTATAAGGATATTAAAAGGTAACATGGTTAACTTAATATTTACCGCCCTATAAAATCAAATCGAGGAGGATGTGTGAAACAAAAACACAATGTCGTATAGGTACTATAACCAATATATTAAGAAAAAGTAGCAAACAAACTTTGGCCGTAATTAGGAACATGTTGAAAAATCAACATAAAAGAAAACTAACAAGACTACACAATACGAATATCGATTAAAATATTTACTATAATGCCAACTGTCAAAATGGCGTCGATAAAGCAGTGACCTTTTGACTCTTTATTATTTAATTGAATGATGAAGAGCTTTCGTGTCACAGATTATCCAAATAAGGCTGTAGTTTTTGAGTTATATGAAAGTAACTATATTAATCGTATAATTATATAAGTCTCCCGTAAGTTTTTAATTTTTATACCTAGTTTTTATAATTTATAGTGCTATTGTTTATAATATTCATGATTCCTACGCAAGAAAGAAGGAATTTTAAAATTCAACTGTATGGTTTTTCTCCTGTTTTTTGTAGGTATTGTGCGATACCTTCGTTAATCGTACACCGATTTTGAAGATTCATTTTATAAAACAGTTAATATTCCAGGGATGACGGCATATAAATTTGGAGAAAAAGTAAAAGAAGTTGGGGCTATTGTTCTATACATTATGTTTTAGCATCTATTTCGCGGGATGGTACTTGTGTAGACACTTTGCGTGGCCTCTCATCCAAGGGTACCTCTTTTAGAGCCGGGGCGGCATCAGAGACAGCTGAGTTAAGTAAATGGCGCAAATATGAGTCTTTGAGGAATAACTACATATTTTTGCCATTTACTGTAGAGACTATCGATCAGTGGAGTCCACGTGCAGTGAATTTTCAAAAGGAACTAACTGTATTATGCATGTGATAAGAGAGCTGGGTCTTTTCTCGCTCAAAGGTTAAGTATAGCTATTCAGCAAAGAAACTGAAAAGAATAAGAAGAACTAAAAAGAAGTTTAGTGTTCTTTATTGTATTTCTTTAATATTGTGTGAAACTAACACAATATTTAAAAAAAAAACTTAATTTCAAGTTAGGAAAATACATTAAATATAGTTTAAATCCAACTTCATATATCACTTGACGTCAGCCCCCTTACTATAAGGGATTACTGTCGTTGAGTGCAAGAAAAAAAACATTATTTACACATCATTATATCATACAAATACACTGACATACATAGAGATTATAAGCTTTATTTCACTTTTAAATCCGGTTTTTATTTTTTATTAAAAGCTTTTTTTAACTTTTTAAAATATTATATTCCAGGTAAACTTTCTTTGAATTTATGGGTCATGATGTTATATTAAAACCGTATACTGGCTGCTTTCCGCCACCTTTTAAATTTCATTGCCTTTTAATTTTCTGCTATAAATGCAGCTTAAAGATTTACTTAAATAAATCTTGTACTTTCCCAAAATTCAGTAATATTATATAATAAAAATTAAGATTAAAAAAATTATATAATCCATTGTTTTTTTTTTTCAGTTAGTAGATGATGCACTAAATTTAGCCCGAGCCAGCAAGCTCGATTACGAAATAGCTTTAAGAGTTGTGTTGGCTATGGAACATGAAACTGAATACGCAGTTTGGAAAGCATTCGCAAGAAATATGAACTTCCTAAGGAAACGCCTCGTAGCTCTAGTCGAGGAAGATGATGATTTAGATCAGGATATTTATCTGGTATGAAATTTTATATACTTTACGATATCTTTAATTTTACTTCTGTCAAAATTAAAGTTATATGACGTTTAAATAAATTAACTCTTATTAGCGAATGATTAGAAGAACAATTGGAACGTTCGAAAATGAAATCGGCTTCACACCCGACAATGTGATTGAACCTGCAATGACTACCCTCGTTAGAGGCTTAGTAATGGATCATGCATGTAGAGCCAATTACGACCCCTGTATTGCAGCTGCTGTTGACTGGTTTTATGACCCCAACGACAATACTGTAGTGTAAGTATAAATTCAATATTTATCAAATAATACAAGTTAAGCTAATAACTTTGTGGTAACTTGTGCCAGAGTACCCGGCTAGTAGCTGTGGGCCTTTGGCTCAAATCCCAGCAATAGCCCACATTTGTGCAAAATACATGTTTTAGGTTGTTGTGTCTGAATATGTTGAATGTCTCTATCCTATGTCTATCAAAATGATCGAGAATCTTTTCTGCCTATAGGGATAAGGACTCTTTTACCTATTTTGTTCGCTAACATTATTGCACAAATTGACTTGTTTTAATTTTAAACTTAAGAGAGCCAGTATTAAGTACTCAAATTTGTTTGATTTTATATTATATTATATTATATTATTTATTTATTTGTCAGAATAAGGTAATACATAATGGTCTTAAATCTAATACAGAAGTTCACTTATTCTGCCTCTTTTATAGGCGTACAAATATTAAATCGTCTTAATTTAATTTCGACATAAAATTTTAATACAAAACTATAAAAAATTAATTACGGATAAATGTTATACAAATTGTCATAAATATGTCAAAGTGAAAATCAGTAATAATACATGTCATCGTCAAATTGCTATATATGTCACCTATATTTACTATTATAATTATATTAATTAAATAATAATTTTAAAAACAAAATTAGTTGTTGAAATATTCAGAAAGACTATAAAAACACTTGCTGAGAAGCCATTCTATCAACTTTCGTTTAAACGTTTGACTTGTTTCATTCTTTATTGTGTCTGGCAGATGATTGTATACACGGATTGCCATGTAGGAAGCATTCCTGTTAAAGAATGAGGTGCCTGATTTAGGCAAGAATAATTTATTTTTGTTCCTAGTATGCCTCTGTGTTACATCAGACTGTTTTGTAAATAAATTTAAATTTTGTCTTACAAACAAACAGATATCCCTCACATACATACATGGTAAGGGAAGAATGTTTAATTTCTTAAAATGGGGTCTACAACTCTCACAGTACCCCAAATTGCATACAGCGCGAATACATTTTTTTTTGTACTACAAATGCTTTCTGGCTATCTGTAGAGTTACCCCATAACAATAACCCGTAGCTTAGAACTGAGGAAACATATCCATGATATGCACATAGAGCTGCCTCTGGCGACACTGTTCTCCGTAATCGTCTTAGAGCATAAACAAATCGGTCTAATTTCTTACAAATTTTAAAAATGTGCTCCTTCCAATTGCATTGTTCATCAAGTGTGATACCCAAAAATACTGCAGATTGTACCTTTTCTATCGATTTATTATGAAATTTAATGTTAATGTCTATTTTTTTTTGATTTGTGTGTCGTAAATTGTATTATTTTTGTTTTGTCAAAATTAATATTAAGTTATTTAATTCAAGCCATTTAACTACGTCACGAATAGAGTTATTGATTTGATTATTAAAATTATTTATGTCATTAGCCTTTATTATTAGGGTTGTATCATCGGCGAAAAGAATGCATTTTTCTTTCGTAGCTTGAGGTAGGTCATTGATATAAATTAAAAATAAAAGCGGGCCCAAAATACTACCTTGTGGAACACCATATTTTATAATTTTATAATCTGATCTATATGATGATTTTTGTATTTGTTTGTTTTTAGGCATCATCTTACAGATTTCAGTGCATTGCCTTCTGTCTTTCAAATAACTAGCTATCAATTATTTGCTTCACCACGAATCCCATATTTTTCTAATTTTTGAAGCAAAATGTCATGTTCTATGTGATCAAAGGCCTGAGTCATGTCTAATAGTACTGCTACTACAGGTATCCCTTGAGATATGCTTTCGGTGACAAATTTAATAAGATGAAAGCATGCAAGTGTAGTTGAACTTTTCTTTACAAATCCAAACTGCTGCCGATTTAATATATTATGCTTTGTAAAGAATAAGTTTAATCTATTACACATAGCTTTTTCAAATATTTTCGATAACACAGGCACGAGAGTAACTGGTCTATAATTATTTACTGTTGCCTTGTCACCTTTCTTAAAAAGTGGTTTTACAATTACTTGTTTTAACTTCGATGGAAAGATGCCTTTAGAAAACGATAAATTTATCAAAAAGCATAAAATTTCAGATATGCTATTTGCACACGCTTTTAATATTTTCGTTAAAATTTCGTCGTATCCGACAGATTTACTATTATTAAGATTCATTATTATTTTACGAACCTCATAACAATCCGTAGGATATAGAAAAATTGTTTTGTCATTCGTTACAATCTGTTTAAGAAGATTATGATTTTTTTCGCGTTTTGTAATATTACCTATAAAGTGGTTATTAAAAACTTCCGCAATTTTTTGTGCATCAGTGTACTTAATGTTATTATACGGTTATGTAATCTACGCCCTGAGAGTGTGGTTTACACATTATATTGTTTTTGATAACATCCCAAATTGCTTTGCATTTATTAGAAATGTTGCCTATATATTTATTATTTACATTTTTTCTGGCAGTGTGGATACATTTTTTCAATATGCGACTATAAGCATTGTATTTTTGTTTATTTAGATTTTTATTAGCATTGCCATGAATATATTTTAAATACAGATTTCTTTTTGTGATTGTTGCCTTTTTTATCCCTTTAGTAATCCACCGCGCTCTCATATTTGTATTTACTATTTTTATTCTAATGTTTGGAAAGCACAAATTATAAAAAACTAAAAATAGATCATGAAAATAGTCAAAAGCTACGTCAATATCTTCTACTGTATATATGTCAGACCAGGATAATGCCCGCACCTGACAATAATCTTTTCTATATTCAAACCAGTATATAGTTATATGTTTTTCAGACATATTTACGCTGAGGGTCTGCGCTGTTTCATGATCTGACAAACCCAGAAAATGAATGCCCGAATCAGCTTGTATTATGTTGCTAGCAATATGATCAATACACGCTTTATTTCTAGTAGGTATTCTTATGTGAAAATCAATATTAGGATTATTTAATATACTTGTTAATTCAACTGTTGGTTTAGTCTGTTTTAATATATCTATATTCCAATCACCCGTTAATACTAATTTAGTGCTCTCTTTTTTATTAGTCAGTTTTTGTAATAATATATTAAGTTTTTCAAAAAATGCTGGCAATGTTTCAGGTTTAGGTATTCTATATATGCAAATAATAATCATGTTTAATAGACTTAATTTAATTCCACAACATTCAAAACAATACTCACAGCCTAATTCGTTTGTTATCACAATTGATTTATATTTAATCCCTTTCTTAACAAAAATACAACTACCACCTCTTTTTTCATTAAGACGTGAAAAGCTTGCGGCTAGTTTAAAGTTATTAATGGAAATAATGTTCTCCATTCCTTTTTTAATAAAAGTTTCACTTAAACATATTATGTCTACATCAATTTTTGATGCCTTTAATTGATCCAATACTATTTCCAAAGAATCAATTTTGCTGAAAAGTCCTGCAATGTTCTGATGTAATATATTCAATTTAGATTTGTTCACGAAAAAAATTATTTGTTGACTGTACACTTTTACACTTTTTGATTACAGTTTCCAATAAGTTACATAAAAATGATAGATCATTAGCTTGTTCGGAAGTAAAATGTAAAAAATGAATCCCATATTGTCGTATATTTTTAGATTTACATTGGATATGCCAATCAGGTTTTCAATAGCAAAACTCTATACGACATTATGATATAAAAGATAAATATATATGTATGTTTAGATATAAATACTCACTGAATTTTCTATGCTCCTGGCCGCTCATAAATGTTTTATTTTTTAAGACATAGTAATAGAATGATTAAAATTAATTTTTTTTTTGCGGGAAGTTGCGTTTTAATTGTTTTCATCACAAAGTTCGTTATCCGTGGCAAAAATGAAATAAACGCGAAAAGAGTTTAGGCCGATGATTTTTATGATTTTGGAAGTTCACCTTCTCCGCAAGAATACAATGCTCTTCTTTAAAATTATTTGAAGAAGAAGCACCTCGTTTGAGGAACGTAAGCCGTTAGTAAGCAGAATTTGACCGTTCAAGATGAAATTCGTCAACTCTCAAGTGTGATCACTGAGAGAAATATAGATACTGTCAGGCGACTAATTGAAGAAAACCGACATATTACCTATGAGGAGATTCGAGAACATTTGGTTATTGGAATGAGCCAATTTAAAAAAAAAGTTACATTAACATTTATGAGATAGAAAACTTTGATGCCGCTTCCTCATGAACTCACCACAGAACAAAAACGGTTTCGAGTTGATTGGTGTAAAAAATATTTTTAACATATGATTTAATTTCCCAAAAATCAACGATTAAGTCAGAGTTTTAATATTTATATAGTCTTAAACCAGCACGTGCACAGTCCACCCGTTGGTGAGTGGATGATGTGGCCCATAGACATCCACATTTATCCTCAATTATCAAAATGCAAATGCGTTGTTACCGCTGAGGACTAAGATGGAATGCCTCGATTCCAGAAAAAGGGTCTCCGGCTCTCTACACTCACCATACGAAACACAGCAGCATTACGTCGCTATTTTACGCTGGTATTCTGGGAGAGCGTAATTCTGGCCCGGTTGAGCCGATCTATACGTGCTACAACTATAATATAGCTGCAACGTAGCTCTACCACGTAAAAAACCACATATACCTCATACCCTCAGACCAATGGTCCTTAGGTTTGCAAAAATGATTTGAACGAATGTTAAAGTGTTGTAAATGTAATAGAGAATACTTTGAAAAACAGTAAATATATTACTTTTATATTTTTTTTATAGGAGAGGTCGCAAACGAGCATACGGCTCACCTGATGGTAAGTGATTACCGCCACCCATGAACAACTGCAACACCAGGGGGATTACAGATGCGTTGCCGACCTTTTATAAAGGAAAAAACTCTTTTCTTGAAGGTCCCTAAGTCGTATCGGTCCCGAAAAATCTCTGGTGGTAGTTGATTCCACAAGGAAGTTGTGCGAGGAAGAAAACTTCTTTTAAATTCAACATCTCTTCGCAGTGCCAATGAGTCAAGCCGATCGGAAAGAGCTCGATCGCCGACGATTCGAACTGCTCTGCGCTGGATGCGATCAAATGGAAGGAGCTGGTACTCGGGAGCCCCGGCCCAGAGATGGGTACAGTATTCCATGTGCGGCCGAACCTGCGCCTTGTAAATTTGTAGGCGGTGAGCCGCCATGAAATACTGCCCCGCTCTTCTGAGCACGCGAAGCTTTTTAGAGGCCAATTTGGTCTTCTCTTCTAAATGACCACGATATTGTACGTCACTCGATATGTCGACGCCGAGGATTCCGATACTAGCTGAGGCAACAAGGAGAGTGCCTTGAAACTGAGGACATAAAACGAAGGGGTTCTTTTAGTTAGTAGTAGTAGTGTTCTTAAGCGGTAAACGTGCAAACTTTGGTCTTCTGGGGATTAAATTAGACTAGATTTAGTCGACCCCAGTCCGAGATTTTGTTCAACAAAGTCCAAACTTCAGACACAAGTTTGTTCCGGTACTCGGGGACGTTTTCTTACTACACGTTATAAAGCATCTCCAGTGCCTTCGCCCGCATAGCAATGAATGCTATATGTAATAAAATAAAGCTCAACTTTGTTTTTTCATCATAATATCATCATCATCATAATGACTGCCTTTCAAAAGTCCAATGTTAAGCATCTCCCCTATTTGCCTTATAGTATTTATTTGCTTTAGTTGCCACAATTAGCAGGTTTTTTTTATTATTTGATGTTGATTTCAGGAAGATGTTCTCTCTCTCTTTGTCATCTTTTACGACATTTTTGGTATGACATGAGGTAAAAATTTCTAACACCGCCAAGACACGGCCTTTACCTTTTAAAAGTACATAAAGCAATACAGAAGACTGTTCCTCGTAGATTATCCTAAGTTTATCAAAATCATCACAATTGAATCAGTGAATGCGCCCTGTAAAGAAAATAACCAATTTAAAAAATAAATTACAGATGACTTTGACTTTGCAAAACAAATGCTTTCAATTTTTTTGCAGAAATCCAGATATTCCTAAGGATATCAGACCAGCTGTTTACTGCACTATGGTACGAGAAGGAGACGGCGACGTTATTTCAGTCTTGTATGACCGATTGGAAATAGAACCATCACTCTACGAACGCCTCGTTATATTAGAATCACTGGCTTGTTCGCAAGACGAAAATTTTATAAGAACGTAAATACATTTTTTTTTATTTTAAGTATTCGATATTTTATAATGGTTTATTTTGCAGCAGTGCTAAGAAACTTTCATCCATTGATCATAGAGAGTAGAAGATATAACAATACATCATACCAGTGGAATAATGTTAATTGACACGCCATTTTTTTAAATCAAAATTAAATATTTTATAGATATCGTCAGACAATTTTTTGAAGTTATTTTTAAACTTTATTAAATCTTCTCAACGCTTCTTAACGCATTCGAAAACTAGCCAAACATTCAACACGCACTGAAGCAGTATACTGGAGTGGACTAACTTCTCCAATTAAAATCTCATAAATCAGAGGACTGTCTCCAGCCGTAGAACGTGCCGTTTTAATAAGTGATCATGAAGCCTTAGATATTTATTCACATCTTAGCTTAACAAAGACTGTACATTACACTATTATATTAGAAAAAAAATTGTATTCATAAGTTATAATTTTTATTATAATATTATAAATTTTCATAAACATTCAAATTTTTAGTCTTCTAGAAGAAACAGTAGCACTTAATGGTCCGTATACTGCAGAAGAAGGAATGAGAATCTTCAAGGCGATAGCAGAAAGCAGCTATCGGAATGCCAGACTTGCTCTCAATTTCATTATTTTACGAACCAACGAAATAAGAGAAAGGTATCGAAATGAAATTTATATTTTTAATGATCTTTTTTTTTTTTAAAGAATTATTCAATTTTACCCTACATCCACAACCGTGTCAGACATAATACAACAGAACATATGAGTTATACTTAAAAAAAAACTCAACGCACTATATCTCCCTCTGTTTTTAAACAAGACTTTTACGTAATAATTAGACATCTAGAATAGAATCCATCTATTACAGGCTATACAAGTCCATTGTGGAACGAAGGCAGATCCCATAGATTGCCTCATAAGAAGGATTTTGCTATCATTGGCAACCGTAGTTTTTTATTATTTTGATTTTTTATCGGGAAAATGCTGCTCCCTATATTTTGTTTTAGTTTCCCTATGCCACCTCTTACGACACCCAACCATCCTATGATTTAAGCAATTGCTATGGATCTTGGCGTCCGCACAGACCCCAACTCTTTTATCGGCAATGCCGGCGACGTCGAACCTCTTTTGTTTCTGTTAGGATAACATAAACATCCCTCATACGGAACGTTTAGATTATCGGACGACCAATTCGCTGAATAACTTGCAGAGTTATTCGTGGACGAGTGCAATTATTATTCGTCTGTATTCACTCATCAACTGTTATAAACATAGATGAAGTAGGTCTCGTTGTTGTTTTTACTTAACTTTTATAGACTAACAAATATATATTTTAAATGAAAAAAGAAATTTTCGCTCTTGTAAAATTCTTAATTTGATCTGAACTGAGTGCCAACTTATTGTTTTATAGAATAAGAATGACAAACGAACACATTCATAGACATCTTCATTTATACTCAATTAAGAACCAAAATAGAGATGCGTTGTCATCCCTGAGGACTAAGATGGAATGCCTTATATCCAGTAAAAAGGATCACCGGTTCTCTACACTCACCATACGAAACAGCGTTGAGCCGCTATTTTTGCTAGTATTCTGTGAGAGCGTGGTTCTTCCCTGGTCCAGCCAATCCATTCGTGATATAACTTAAATATAGCTGCAGCATGACTTTACCACATATGTTAACATTAACCGTTATAAATAATATAATTATAAATTATAACGGTTAATGGTAATATAATAAGTTCACGCGTCAACTGAATAATGACGAGTATATAAACATACAATATACACAAAAATAGTCCTTTGATTGGTGTTAAAGAACCGACATCGAGTGAAGAACATGAGAGTACCCGGATCAAGTAGAGAGCACACCAGAACAAGTCGTTTACATGTTCGTACTCGTACCTATTCGTCTATGCTCGGCACAATGAAATGTGGCGCAAGGAAAAAATGTGTACGTGTTGCGTATCCACGCTTACATTTATGCATCTAAAATTATTCTCAACTAACATGGTTTGAGGTGCATGTGTGCGCGTCCGTTACAGCCTATCAAAATTCCACCGTTGAACATAGACCTCTTCAATAGATTGCCTGAGAGTTTGCCATAACTGCCACGCTTGGTAGGCGGGCTTTGCAACCGCAGTTTTATATTTTTAGTTGTTATTAGGAAGATGCTGCTGCCCATTTCGAGGTTTATTCACCTCTCGATTCATGTTCGACGATATGCGGTAGTTGATATTCTTACACCACCACTACATATGCACACTTTAACGGGTTTTTAAATGTAAAAGGAAGAAAGATGTGTGCGTGAGCTTGTGGTGACAAATTTGACAATGTTTCCGTGTCATTTTAAATGTACAAAGCGCTCCGTCATGTTCTTTTGTTGTTCTAAGAAATTTATACGTAAAATAAATAAAACGATTATTATTTTTAATAGGTACGGTGGCCCAGAAAAGCTAGAAGAGGCTGTTTACGCATTAGCTGAAAACATGGCAAATGCCAATTTGGCTACAGATGTAAGTATGACGTGTTTTAATTTTCTAAGCTATTACCCAAAGAGATTTAAATATATTACTACTACATGCTTAAATGTCTTTGCTATTACCTACGGATTTACTAAATAATAGTAAAATCGTATATTTATACAAATGTATAATATTGAAGTGTCTATTTTAATGTCAATTATACTAAATACATATGAAAGTATATAAGGTACTTGTAACAATTTTTTTAAATAGTGTCCGTCTGCCTAACTATCTGTTTATTCCTAAAATAATCTAATCTCTAAAATGGCTGACCTGATTTTGACGAGACTTTCATGGAGGATAGCTGATTTTATTAGGAGTACTTAGACTATGTTTATTTTAGAAAAATAATTAGGGTTTCGCTCAAAAAATTTAAACCAAATCGTAATAAATTCCACGGGAATAAAGTCAGCAGAACAGCTAGATAACACATAAATAGATAGATAAACAGATAACTCTTTCTTGCATTTAAACAAAGTTATCACAATAACGGAAAACTTATGAACTACAAACGGTGGTCCTATCTTCTACCTGACAAACCGAACGTAAAAGGACTTTGTAATTTTATATTTTGACGGATAGGTGCAATGTGCAATATAAAATGAACTGAAGAAAAGAAAAAAATAGTATTATTAAAATTAATATTTATAAAAAATATATGAATAATATATGATACATATTCACTAAATTAACAATTTATCTAGATAGGAGTAGTTCTAGAAAATCTTAATGTCGGGAAAAACAGTCGATTAAAATAAATAGTCAACAATAAAGAAATTAAATGAAACGATATCCCTTTATATTAGTGAAATGAAAAAATAAAATAATTCCGTTTCGAAAATAATTTCCTCTGATCAGAAAAGACACGATGAAGCAAACTCCCGGATTACGGTCTCTTTTGTCGTTTGTCCATAAACTTCAACATACAATAATACATTTTAAAACGAAAAGATTTCTTTATTTTTTTCAAATGCTTGTTATTTTTTGGTGGATATACCTGATTTCTTTTTGTAGATTTCATTAAGTTTTTAAAGTTTATTTATTTGATTTTGCGACATTATTTAAGTACCAGTTTTTAATATTTGAGATGTAGTATCCATCCACTTCATACAATGTTATCTAATGTACATATTTCCAGAAAAGTATCAGATACAAAAGATCTGATAAGCCCACCTTATCGCTTTTCTGCAATATATTTGTCGATGAGAACGCACTACAAAATGTCATCTTATCCACCTAAGTTATGAAATGTAAATAAAAATATTGTATTTGTTTATTAGAAGTATCTGTTTTAATGTAAGAAATATCTTTCGCAAATAATTTAAAAAAAAACATTGTTATATTTTTTCATTAAAAGTTAATAATTAAGACTAATCCTCGATCTGGTAGTTATTCTTTTACGATAATGCTCATAAATTAGTCTATATCATTTTAGTATACTATGATTATACAATATTATAGGGATCAGCCGATTATGGAATGATCTAAATAATACCTAGAATAGCTAAATGTGAGCAAGAGAATAATATCTGTTAATGCGACTCCAATCCAAACGATGCTTTAGCTGGAACAAGTAAAATTTCAGATCATTTTTACATGTGTACATGCTTATGGCAATGGGTCATACACGTGTAAGCGCCATGCACTAGCTACACGTCCCAGTTACATTTTTTCATTTTGAATAGGTTTCAAACCGCATTAAATCTTTACCTTGTAAATTCTTTATTACAGTTTTTCAACTGGATTGAATCTAGAAATAACAATCTAGAGGATTCTGAAGCTGCTGCAGAAAAAGCAGCATTACAAGTGAAAGAGAATTTAAACTGGGACTCCGCGCACATTGATTACGTGTACGAGTGGATAAATGAAAATGACGCACCTACTTTATTCGTGTCTGCATTTTTATTAACTTTGTCATTAATAATTGCAGTATTTAATCATTAATATAATTTATAAATATTTTTTTAGATTTATTTATTATGTTTTGTTATTGGGAAGATTATTCATTTTATATTTGGAACAGTTTACGCATATGTCATTAACTTTTATTATTTATTCTGTTTTTATTTCTTACAAGTTAAAATAATTTAAGTAAAATTAAAATATTTTAGTAGAATAGATTATGTCGAAGCTTTCGAGGGAAACTCAGTATTATCTGAATTGATATTATTTGTAGTTTCATTTGGCTCGCATTTTTTAAAAATAAAACGGTGCCTTATGTTACGCCATCTACACCCAAGCACAAATTAAAAAGTGTTAACCTACTAGATTCTCAGGTAATGTGTTACAATATTCTTACACAATTTTAATTCAAATTTTTATGGACTGTTTTATTTGCGCAAATTTTTGGGAACGTGGGTAAATCGTAAATTGCGAGTAGTCACTTCTTGTTACACGACAAAATGTAACCAGATTTGTTGATGTAAATTTAATATGTTATAGTAATCTGTAACTGTTTTATAAATATAAGTATTTTGATAAGAAAAATAGTTATTTTTAAGTATTAAATCATATTTATTTTCTTAGTATTAGTAATATTAAAGTTAGTGTTTTGGTTTTTAATACCTAGGTAGTTATTTTTTAGTATTATTACTATTATATTAAGTGGTTGTATGTCAAAATTGCACAAGGTTATTGTAAAAAATCGTACAGTTATTTTGTTTTTATACATATCTACGTAAGGATTTAGATTAGGAAGTATTCTTAATATGCATTGTTAATTTATACGTTATCATTCAAATGTATTTTTAAAAAAGTATTTAAGATTAAGTTGTAAAATAATCTTAAAATTTCTTATCAAATTTTTAACCACTTAATCTTAAGAATACTTAAAATATTTTCGTTGCATTATCACTCATGGCTTATCCAACGTGTCTTTTTTAAATTAGCAGTAGGCCGAATAATTTTTAGAATAAATGGTACTAAATTTAAAGCAAACGCGTCCTCTTGCTTTAAATTTAGTTTTATTGTAAGTTTTATAATTTAGTAGTAAATAAAAATATGGTTAAAAAAACTATATAACTAGCTATTTTACTATAGCAAAAATGAAGAAATAAATAATTATTTAATGGATTCTAGGGATAAGTGTAATACAAAAATAAATGTAATATCTATGTGTATGTGTATGTGTATGTGTATTGCATGGTATTTGATTTTAAATAAATATTTTCAAATAGAATAAATAGTTGTTTTTGGTTTCTGATGTGATTTGCACTTATGCAGAGTTGTTTCCTAATAAATTTTGATTCACTTAATTTTTCATTTTATTGAGTAATAACCCAAAACGCTTTCAAAATAAAAATGAAATTGAATTCTCAGACGTAAGAAATAAATATTTAGTTTGTCATATGTATTTTATCATTTTTAAATATACTATAGGATGCCTCCTTATAGTTTTTAAGAAAGGCTGCCTATATTCAGCTTTGGTATGTTTGACTTATATATACTATATAGGGATTAATATGGGCGGTTATGAAAATAGGTATTGTCCAATGTAATACTAATAACTATTATATATATATATATATATATATATATATATATATATATATATATATATATATATATATATATATATATATATATATGTAGAAATCATTCTATAGAAATTCTATAGAAAAGAAGTTTCACCGACGACAGGAATTTATTTCTCTTGTATTCGTAGAAGAGTTTTACATACATAATTGCACAACGTTTAAAAGCCACTTGCAGAAGAATTTGTAGAGCAAAAACATATAACTTTTAAGAAAAAGTAAAAACCGACTACAAATTGCTAAAAAAGAAGTTATTTATTTTCAACCCTTAGGGTTAGAATTTTTCTCCCAATTTATATGAGACTACCCTTAAAGTACAACATATTTAGAAAAAGGAATCTTTAAATTCGGTTTTCTTTCTGCGAAGATATCATATGAAATTCCTTAAAGAATAGTCCTATACGAATCTTTTCCCCCATTTTCGATACTTGGTAGCGAAATTTTATTTCTTAAACATTAAATGATACCACCCTTGCGATAAAGCTTATTTAATAAGAAAATATTAATATCGGTTCACAATTTGCGAAGAGATCGCGTTACATACATACAAAAAATGAACATACACTCGAATTGAGAACCTCTTCCTTTTTGAAGTCGGTTAAGAAACTTGTTTCTTTAATTTTTTAGTAGCTTATTAAGGTATATTTTATACTTTCAGATAGTTCTAGTACCTACCAAAAAAAAGATGGCTGGATGCTACTATTGTCTTAGGATATTAGGATTAATTTTAAAAAAACAAGGCTACTACTGTTACTGCCATGGAGGTTAGAGAGAAGAAGAACGATCGCTGTAGAAAATAGTGTCCCAGAAATATGGACATAATAAGTGAGGCGCTGCGATCGCTAAGTTGTCTCAATAAAAGCGGGCTGTTGTGCGCTAGTTAGAAATGATCTATCAACGTTTTAATATATGGACATGTGTAATATCATTCAAAGAAAAGAAATAACTAAATCATTATTTATTATTGGGGGGTATCAATATAGTTTTCTGGTTGAGTTCTATAAATATATAATTATAAATGGAAATGAAAAGATAAATATACATAAATATCAATAATAAATATAAAAATACATAAATAAATAAAAGCCCAACCAGATGGAGGCCCTCGACAGGGGAGACCAAACGGCCGAGGTTAGGGGGAAAGTGAAAGAAACCGGCGGACGATGCGGGCGGTATCAGGAGCACCGCCTTCTGCATTTGAGCCTGGAGTGGTCCGCCACGTAGTCCCAGCCGCCTCCGATGACCCGAAAGGCTGATTGGGATTAGCCCGTTTGCAGAGACGACTACAGGAATAATTTCGGTCGGCAGACCACCCCACATGTCGGTCACCTCGTGAGCCAGGTTCAGATATTTTGTTTGCTTATCTGTTCGGCTTTCACAAGGTTCTAGTCATACGGAATGGTAATGTCGAACAGAAATATCCTTGACTATGCCCCTTCCATCAGCAAAATATTAGGCTTATTTGCAAGAATAGTCCTGTCTGTGATGATGACCCGGTCCCAATAGAGACTGGCGCGGTCATTTTCGAGCACGGCTTCCAGCAAGTACTTGTAATACGGCAATTTCCGATCCACGAGACCGTATATTAGAGCGAGATCCTGGTGAAGAATTCTGACTACTAGGTTGTGTTTGTGCAAGTACTCAGAGTTAGAAAGGGCCGAACAACCGGAGATGACATGCCTAAGTGACTCACCGGGAGGCGACAGATGTCGATGGTGCCATCCTTTAGGATGTATCTCCGATAGTTGTTGGTCTTAAAAACCTGATCCTGTATTGCACAGACAAAACCCTCGGTTTCCCCGAAGAGGTCGCCGAAGTGTAGCCAGTGGAGGGAGGCTACTGTGTTTACGAAAGGCTCATGTATAGAGCCTTGTAGAACCTCCCGTGGAGCTCCTTCTCCTTCCATACGGTCTCCCGGTCGGAAATGCTCTGCACTGCCGGGTCTTGCCATTGCTCGTTGGCTAAGAATAGATTCGTAAGTCCTTTATCACTAGAAATGACGTCCTTATAGATCATCCGATCTCGCCAGGAAGTAATAAAGGAGGCTGCACACTTCGCGATTTTGCATGGTGAGCGCGCTTAAGAAGCCACGCCCACCATGCTTTCGCGGCAAGTACAGCCCCATTACCGACGATCTCGGATGTTCATCTTATGGGACGTCATCGTAGTGCGGACTTTTCTATCCAGGGCGTTAAGTTCAGTCTGAGTCCACCTGAGTATGCCAAAGGTATACATGAGGATAGGCATGGCCCAACCGTTATATGCTTGTGTCTTATTCATACTGGACAAAAGGCTGTTAAGCACTTTGGTCAAGCGTGCATTAAACACGTCGCAAAGTGACTGTCATACCAGCCTCATCGATACCGATGTTCTGTGACATACCCAGGTATCGGTATGTTTCAGCCTCGGAAAGAGTCCTTAGGTTGACGGGCATAGATAAATCTATGCCCTCAGAGTTAGCAACCCTTCCCCTTTCAACATGGAGGACCGCACACTTATCCATCCCCAGCTCCATTCCAATGGAATTGCTAAATTCACGGGTGATGTTTAGCAATTCCATAAGATGCTAGCGACTGGAGGCGAATAACTTGAGGTCATCCATATAGAAAAGGTGGATCACTTTTGTCCCTCCCTTCCGTAGATGAAATCCCCTCCCGGAGCCCTCCAGTAAGATACTGAGAGGGTTAAGAGAGAGGCAGAACCAGATTGGACTCAAACAATCGCCCTGGAAGATACCCCTTCTTATTCTTATGTGGTTCTCCGCAGCCATCATCCGCTCGCCCAGATGACAAAGGATCGTACTCCACTGCCCCATACACCGCTCGAGGAAGTCTGTAACTGTACAGTCTATCTTGTACAGCTCGAGGACTCTGTTTAGCCATGTATGGGGCACCGAGTCGAATGCCCTTCTGTAGTCTATCCAGGTGGCGGAGAAGTTTCGACGGTTGCGTTTTGCCAATGACCGCGTCAATGAGGAGTGGATCCTTGGTTCCACGACCACCGCCCCGACATCCATTTTGAGCACGCGACATCACCTGATTTTAGTCCTGGTGACGAGTGATTCTCGCGCTCAAAATGGATGTTAGTGTCTTGTATATGGTTGGTAGATACGTGATGGGGCGATATCCTGGTCTTTAGGAACCAAATGGGTGATCCCAGTAGTGAAGAGGCTCGGGAGCGACTTCTGGTTGAGAGCCTCTTGAAACTGTCGGGCGAGCACAGGGTGACACACCACGAACCTCTTCAGTCAGTAGTGATGCAGCCCGTCGAGTCCCGGACTTTTCCAGTTCAGGGCCCACGGACCGCCTCAGCTACGTCATCCGGTGTTATAATGACGGGGTCCATGGGCGTTATACTCGCACACTGACTCGCCACAACTTCCGTCGAAGGACCCTCGCTGTGGTTTACGGGCTCTGACCACAGGCCACGCCAGAATGCTACAGCGTCGGCCTGATTCGGTGCTGACCCCATTCCACTTACCATTGGTCGCTCCAATGATTCATAGAGCCTCTTCTGATCACTCTGGAAGAGACGATTCTGGTTGAACCGTGTCGACCTCTCGGTATATCGCCGAATCCGCTTTCCCCAAGCAGCGATTCTCTGCTTCAGATCATCTATGCGCTCCGTCAGTTTTTGCGTTATATCTGGCTGGGACAAACTGCCATTTGTCCCAGCAAACGCCATCCCGACGTTGCGCACAATTCTTGGCCTGTTATTGCCTGATCTGAAGCATATCAGTCTGCAGATGAGAGCTCTAGCCTTTGCGATACGTTCCTCAATTCTTCTTCTCCGTGCTGGGACACCTTGGCGCCTATAGTACGGCAGACTCCCGGTGCGGCGCCAAAAAGAATTGAGTCCGTCTCGCAAAGGTCCCGGCTGGCTTCCAAATAGGTCACCAGCATTGTGTTCAGTGCCCTCACGACAGTCCGATTCCGCTTGCTTAGGGCTATGCGGGGAAGTTGCGGTCGATTTTCGAGAGGCATACTGCGCGTTTCCACAATCGCCTCTTCCAATGTACTCCTCATTTGCTCTATTTCTAGTTCCCGGGTGAATGTTCCATCATCATTTGTATCAGCAACCACTGGGGTATTCACGGCGGCATCTACGTGTGCGGGTTGTTCTGCAACTTGTGGCACCGCATCCTCACTTGTAGCATTTTCATTTGATGAGGGAACAACCTCACGTCGTAGCCGTTCAAGTTCAGCGCCATCAAATATATTTGATCGTAATATATACCGAACTCGGTCTGCCAGGTTTTGCTCGGTGACGGTAATAGATGGCTCCAGCTCAGTAAAAAGACGATTCATCCTAGCCCGATATGCGAAACCTCCAACTTCTCCCCCTTTCGCTCTAAAATACGCCCGCAATGCGTTTATATTCATATTGATGGTCCATCGCATGCGGTGTACTCCACCAGTGGCGGTTGCTGATTGCTGGGCCTGAGAAGACCCAGCCGACACCAAGCAAGCTGGTGGGAATGATGGATGCAAGGGGCTGCTGGGTGGTCGTGCAGCACCTCGCGCTCGTCTGGCGGTTCGCATGCTGTCGCGTCCAGCGCCAGCTCCAGACGCGCCCTGGCGACCTCCAGGCAGCGGCTCTTTGCGCAATCTTCTGTGTTTCATCATCCATAGTGGGCGTCATTTAACGGGAGACGCCCAGACGCGGCGCCGTTTCGTGGTGAAGCCATATGCACAAGCGGGCCCTTGCACCTTCAATTTTTGCCGAGGCACGGCGCTCACTCCTCTTGGCAAGGTGCTGACTGACTGCGTGGACGTAGCAGTTTTGTCACATAACCGTCACGTCAGTGGGCCATGGGGTCGTCACTTCCCTACGCCTTATCATTATTTCTTATTATTATTAATATTTATTAATAAATAAAATATGAATTATGTTTTTTATAATTTTATTATTAAAAATATTATAAATTACTTATTACAAATATAAATAATTAATTATTATTGTTTTTTTTTATATAATATTTCACCATGTTTAATGTTTCTTTTTGTCAAAAATTGAAACATTACGGAGCACTATTATTTTCTCACCAATGCCGCGAAGAACATTTGTACATTATTCAACTAACTTCATCTACTTGTACTCATAAACAGCTAACTTCGCAGATACTACTTACCGATGGCAGCGCGACTATAAATTCTACAATTTTTTGGGAGCAGGTGGGCTAATGCTTTAGCACGTAGGGACCAAAATTTAATAAAAATGTAAGGTTGCTGATTTAATTATGATATAAGGAAGGTTACGTTGGAATTTTAAAAATAATTCAAATTTATTGCAACTTAATCCACTGAAATTCATTATGTGATTAATTTTTGCAAGCCTCGCTTTATTTTCACGTTCAGGGAATACTTTTGACAGAATTATTGATCAATTAATCCGCCGCAATCCAGTGCTTGTTGGGGTTCTTCACAAACATATTTTTGATAAATTTTATTCCCCAGACATGAAGTTTTCCTTTACCGCCGAGCATGTACTAAATTAGCACTAAAATTGCAATTAACTCTTTTTTTTCGGTGACTTGGATAGAACATTTGCGGATTACTTGCGTACTGGATGTTGATAAATGTGACTGAGAACCGTGCTTTGCGGCATTCTTTTGGAGAAGTCTATGTCCAGAAGTGGATGATGAGGAAATACGAATATGTCGAATTAGTTGACAGGCAACATAATCACAGGATATTGGTGGTAGAAAACATTATAGTAAATTAGTAAAGAGTGCCGAAGCAAATACTAAATAGTACCGTGTAGGTAGTGGCGGAGTAAGAATACTCAGTAATACCCCATATCATCTCATTGATATCGTAAAAGGAGATAGAGGAAAATAAAAAAGGAAATAGATAGCAGCATCTTTTTAATAACAACTGTAAATAATAAAGAAAACTGCAGTTGCCAACACGCCTGCTAAGGCTCTAAGCGCAACTTAAACTATAGCAAAATCTCCTCCCTAAGAAGCAACCATCCATAGGTTATGTTATATCTTATGGAGAATAATGTTACGAGCTTAGGGTTTGTGACAATAAAAACTGCCGATTGAATTACCAAAATAGACACTATAATTACTGATCACCAATTAAAACTTAAATCACACTAATAATTATTCACACTTACTTTAGTTCACTTTATTTTACTCCGAAAGCCTTGCTTGTATCGCCAATTCAATACTGCCTCGGTCGCGCCCTCGAATGGCCTTAAATAGGCCTTTTTCACCGAAACATCCAGAATGTTACAGCAAATACCGGTCCCGACCGACTAAGTGCAGAAAGTTCGAGTGAGTGGCTTTCTAGAAAGCTTAGTTCTTCCATTCAAAACTAGATGACGCCGTTGTTGGAACGTTCAGGAATAGCATTTTCTAGAAAGCCCTCCTCGCTCTGTTCCCCGACACTAGATGGTGCTATTGCCAGGTACCAGACGTCAACTTAGGCGCGCAACAATAATAAGAACCAGAAACCCTTATAATTGTGTAATGCACCACCATTTTACCAAGTTTTTATTAACTCTCTTTCGTGTGTGTCTGCTCAGATAAAGTAAGTAAAATAGTAATTGCTTTTGAACTAATGAGGACATCCACGACTTTTTCTGCCACCAGGGTGGCGCCACTTAAATTGAGGTGTAATATTTGACAGATTTCGTAGTGGGGAAGTTAATTTGTTTGAAAATTTTAAAGGCTAATGTTTCTTTCTGTATCATTAGTTATGTATTATATTAATTAGATTAAAAATAAATAAAACGAATCACAGATACATAATACATAACATAAACACTCACGCCTACCCAGAGGGGTAGGCAGAGACTACATACTTCCATTTAGCACGATCCTGAAATACCTCTCTCGCCTCTTCCACATCCATAAGCCTACGTATACATGCTCGTCTGTTAAGGGTACTCTTAATTTGGCCCATTTTAATATATCGCCAACTTGGTCGACAAACTTTCGCCTAGAACGTCTCTTTCCGACTCTTCCATTCACTTCTGCAACATATATTTGCTTTGTCAGTCCTTCCTCGTTCTTTCTACATGACCAAACCACCGAAGTATTCCTTTCTTAATCCTGGTCATCGCATCATCTTGCAAACCACACTCTTCTTTTATCACACAGTTTCTCACCCTGTCACTCAGATTCAGCCCACAAAAGATTCAAACCACAGATATTCATAAAAATCGATTTTTTTGAATTTTTCAAAATTAAAGAAAAAACCACTAAAGCATTGGTTTGTGTATTAATATAATACTTACTTTACTTTTTTACGAAACTAATAAACTTTTATCTCGGAGTAATCACTAGCATAGAGAAAGTCTTAAAATCAGAGCAAAACCTCACGTAACCGAACTCTTTATGCATATTAAATTTCTTGCAGGATAAAAAAGATAGTTATATGAATGTCACCATCTCTCCTTTACAAGGTTGTAAACGTTTTTTTTTAGCTTTTTTATATACCATAGACAATTCTAGTGATGGTAACTATAGAAAAGAACAGTTCTATCAATATATTTGTTTCATCTATGGTTCAATAAAATTCAGCATTTTAATAATATTACTTAACGTTTTCAATAAATATTAATTTCGGATACCAACTAAGGAAAGACCTACTACGGACGAAGTGTTCAATCAGCAATGGAACTTAAAAACTTTTGATTTAGAATCAATTTTGCTTAATTTAGTCTCAATTCGGGTGAATTTTGTAATTCCGATCGATCTTGCTATAAAGTTAAAATATATCATAAAACCCACTAAGAAAAATTCTGTTTGGTGACGTTTTTTCATCAGCTTTATAATATTTAAGTGTGAGCAAAATATCACATAGTAAAAATTCATACAAAATATTTATTTGCCCTTTACAAAGAAAATAAAACCAATTTAACTGTATTGAAATAACTTTTAAGTTGTTTATTGTATCTTATATCTATATCACTCATTTAATAAAATCCTTATACCTGCCACAGTTTGTCAAATTGTCCAGGGTTAACTGGTAGAGAATGCCATAAGACAATAAGTCGGCATTTTGTATTCCTAATTATAAGGTGAGTAAAAAAAGATGAAACAAATAAATAAAATACTAATTGGTACCCTTGACAAGAAGCTGGTGGCGACAAAACATGTAAATACAATAGTACAAAAAGCTAAGGTTTGTTCTATGTAAACTGCATCAAAAGTGTTTATTACGCTAGTAGTATTTTTTTTCCCTATTATATTACGCATAAACAACAAATTAAAAGAATTCAGACAAAGTTTATAAGGCATTTGAATTATAGCATTCACACGTATATACTTTATTATACTTACTACATCATACGTTCTTAGAAAATAGACGTAAGATATGATGATGTTAATCCGTCCAAAGTATTTTCTAGTTTCCTAAATTTTTGTTGTTTGGGATCTCTTGAAATCTATCATTTAAGGATATGTTTTTCACGATCTTTGCTGGAGAGATTGGATTTTCAGTAGACGTTTTCTCGAAAAGTTCTGAGCTTTAGCTAATTTTTGTCTTGCTTATGTATACATAGGTAAATTCTCAACTGCGCAATTTGAACTTGTGGATGGAGTTAGATTTTCACTTATGTTCATTTGTTCTGGTTCTATATTGTTAATATTGGTATGAAGTTTAGAAAATACCTGTAAGGTAATAATTGCAAACTTATTCTTTCGTTTCATATAGAATATTATCATTTAATAGTTCTGACAGAGTAATTTTTAAAAGTGCTTACACTATTCTCGCATTTAATCATCAATTTTCACTTTCTGTGAGGCCTAAAACATCGAACATATTTGTAGTTTCAAAACCGATGTAATGATAAATAATTATTAATAATGATATTCGTATGTTGGTATCGCATTGACTATATGCTGTTTTGACATAATTATATTAAATGATACGTAATTAAAAATAAAATCAAATATAATAAATGTATTCTTACGATGTATAAAGTAGGAATTGCATTTAATTTCAGCCTTCGCCATTTCCCTTCTTTAACAAAACAATGTTTGGAGAAGTGTTTTGAGTAAATGCGGCTATTCTTTATGCAATGGTTTTGTGCCCGTGGAATTACCCTCATCCAGTTTTTTTTTTTTCAATTCTTTATCATATTTAGGCATACTAAAACAACGAAAATATAAAGAAGAATGTCGATATGGGGTTGTCGACTTTGCCGATATGCCTTAAAACCGCATCACTATTGTTTAAAAAAATTATATTTCCATGTATTTTAGCAAGTATATATAACAAATACAGACTCATTTTTACAAAAAATGACTTGTTATTTTCAAAATAATGTGAAATACAGTGTATTTATGGTTATAATGTAATTTAATTCTAGCATAATAAAAACGTACACACCGGTGGAAGCTTATGAATTCTGAACCGTGTTCCTTACGGGAAAAATGGGATTTGCATCCTAGTATAAAACAAGCCATCTCTATTTATATATTTTATTTAAAGATATAATTTTATAATACTATTTTTAGTAAAATATTTAAATATTAAACACAACAGATGTCAAACATCACAATAAATAATACGACTTAATTAAAATTACATTTGTCAAATAAATTAGCCATTACGATCTTGGACAAAATAAATACGATCTTATTAACTTTTTATTTAGTAGTGCAAAAGGAAACTAAAGATGACCACTTGACATTTCTTTTTCCACGAATGAATTATACGCAACATTTTTGAATATATTTGTCACTTTTTGACGTATTTGAAAATTAAATTAGAAAAAGCAAGATAAGTACATCGACTCAATTTATGTAGAATTGTAGATTCTCTCTAATATGCACACGTTACATACGAGATTGTAATTACTCTAAGACTTTTATTTAGAACTTAATTATAATGAAATAACATTTTCCAAAAAAATACCTCAATATCAAATAGCTGAGCTGGATACTTGAAATATTCAACATAGCTCGGGATTGGGTGACAATGTAAATATATGAATAGCGTATAGTTGATTCTTAATTGGGAATTAATGTAGGTGATTAAAAGCCCCCACATACTATAAGGTTAGCGATGTGGGCGTTGGTCTAACTTATTTCATAAAAAGAAAATATAAAATTGAAATGAAAAACAAATTTACAGTTCACCAGATTAGTGGCCACTGTAGCCAATGGACCTTTGCAACGACATTTTTTTACAAAATAAAGATGTCAAACGAGCACACAATAAACCGGATGTTAAGTGTAAGCTGTGATCCATAGACAATTACATTTATCCTCCATTAAGACTAAAAATGCAGATGCGACGTCACCCTTGAGGACTAAGATGGAATGTCTCTTTTCCAGTAAAAAAGGGTCTTCGGTTCTCTACACTCCCCATACGAAACACAGCAGCATTAAGCTACTATTTAACGCTGGTATTCTGTGAGAACGTGGTCCTTCCCCGGTCGAGCCGACCTATTCGTGCTACAATCATACTACTAACATAGCTTCAGCATGGCACTACCACCTATAAAACAACCTGATGCCAAGTGACGATTAAGGCAAATACTCTCTACAAAGGAAGAGACACATGTCCAGTAAGGGACACTTACAGGTCTTACGGATAATTTGACTGCCTCGTTGTTCCAGCGGTTTTCACCGCGATCACTGATCATAAGGTCCCGTGTACGAAACCTAGGTAGCGCCAAATCAGTTAATTGGTTTTTCTGTCAGTATATTGGCGCCTGGGGCTCGGTAAGCACGTAAATGCGTTGGTGTTAGATTACTGTAGGTACCATTGGACTGTGAGAAGGAATACAGAGTCAGGTTCTTGCGCATACACTCGTTCACTATAATCCTGACCTGCGCAGTCTAGTTTGAGACTGGCCGTAGTGGCCAAAATTCGGTCTGGAGGACTTTGGGATGATTGGAGAATTATGGGTCGGTAAATAAGAAAAATTTAATAAAAACTCATATCTTATTTAAGTCATTTTTATTAATTAAAATTATTTTTTATTTGTTAATAATAGTCATTAAATATTACTTTATTATATTTCTCCTCCACTTTAAATAATATTTTCAAGCACACCACTTTGTTACAAAATTAAATATTCAACTTAACATGACTAGAATTCGAAATAAATACATTTAGTTATAAAACTCAGGTGATCAACACAAAACAACTGATATTTTAAATATAATAAAAAATTCTTATATCGACTTAAAATAAATAAAGTTATAACAATACAACGGGTGAATAGGAATGTGTTAAAATTGTTATAAAAAAATGTTAAAAATATATTAATTCTTACTAAAGAAATTATTTTCGAATTCGATTCGATCTTCGATTCAAAATGAAAATTTTTCGAAACTGATTTTAATATCTTGCTCCCAAGCCAATTTGAATCGAGAAACACGATCGAGTTACGTTGAAGCGTTATAAGCGCCGTTAGGCACATCCAGATATTACAATAACCGGAATTCATTTTTAATTATTTAAGAACTTACTTCTTAAATATTTCATTACATAAATGTGACAAACTAACAAAGAAAAAGCATTCACGTCGCATGTAATCACGGGCGCCATCTAGCGGCAGACACCTGAACACTTTCGTTCTGATAATTTCAATTTGAACCACCGTTTGATTTTGCTTTAACTACGGTTTTAGGAGTTCGAAAACATTGAAAACTCTATTATGTCGGGCGTAGGCCGACTTATTTCGGTAGCCACAACTTGAGGTATATTTATTAATAAGATCATAACCTGAAGATTGTTCCCAATTAGGTGCACTTGAGTTGAGGAACGTTTATTAATGCAGGCCCTAGAAATGGCAATAATTTTCATTAGACATTTCATATAATCTAAATTATCCAGTAGATATTATAGATAGTCTTGTCTACCTAAAGTCTAATTTAGAGAGAAGTAAAGTTCAATTTATTACAAAAACGTGATTTATCGATAATCTCTGGTTTAAGTGAGAATCTTTGCTACGAAGCCACGGCGCCATTGTAGCGACATTTGCTGTCAAATTGCATACTTTACATATTTTAGTCGGCATATTTTCCACGGAACTTCTTTTTTAAACAAACCAAACCTGAGACGCAGCTTCGTATTTGATTCGGTGCTCAAGGTTTATATAGCAAATTTTACTATAGGGCTTTTTTATTTTATTTTTTTTTAAGTAAAATAGTTACGATTTTAAAATCAATGAAATGTACATTTATTTAGTGCATTAATTAAAACTACTTTTATGGATTTTATCGCGTTTCTTTGTTATTTTTAATACCCGACGTGCTGAAAAGCACTCCCATGGTCAAGGGGGACTCTGAAAAGCACCCGAAACGTCAGGTATTAAAAATAACATAAATAAACACGATAAAATCCGTAAAAGTAGTTTTAATCAATGTGTAGTGTTCGTTTATATATAAGATTATTTTGTGGATTTTTAATAGAGATTCATTCATTTCTTCATCCAGCAATGATGAGTTGAACTGGTGCGTTGGTTTTCATTACATTTACCTCACATGGCGACTAAAATAAAATTCTTACAATTATTAGAGAGGTTTATATAAAGTAGAGGACTTTTATAGAGGATGTAATTTTTTCCCAGAAAAATACTGCAACTTTTTTATTTATTTTATATCTTTTATATCAATTTTAACAAAATAATAAAAACAACTTGACCAGAAATTTATCTTCCGGTTTTTCTTTAATTCACCTTTCAGTTTTTTATTTAGCTATAATTAAGAATAAGCACTTTAACATATAAATACGATTATCAAGCTTTTATCGTCATCATTTATCATTTACCCTCATTCCTGCTGAATAAGGACCACCGTATAATTCTTCCTTTAATTGTATGACTGGCTCATTTCCTCATGAGCTCATTGATATTTTAGTCGATGTCGGTTACTCTGGTTCCACTGTTATCATCGTGACGCATTAAACATTAGTATTTCTACATCGTTTTAAATCTACATAAATAGAAATCAATCGCCGCATGTATGAAAGATCATCACTTGAGAAGGGCTCGACCGATTTTGATAATATTTTGTGTATGTTTGAGCGGGTCTCTGCATGGATTTACAATTGAACCCGGCAGATGGCACTTTTATCAAGATCCAGGAATCACCTATGCGAAACCGGAGCAGATCACAAGTTGAAAATAAATAAAATAAAAGAAATAATAATTCTATGTACATTACATCCATTAGCCCAAGTCAGTTACACTACACTGTTGGAGATCTTTAAAATACAACGAGTATATTGATTTTAAACATAATTTAATTTAAATAAATACTTAAGATTACACGAGAAATATTAAGTTATTCGATTTACGCTATGTATGTACCTACATATATTTCTGGTATAAAAGTATGCAAAATACCAATATACGGCTAAAAGACTTCAAAATTACACAGTTATGCTATATTGTAAAGCAATTGATTACTCTATCTTAAGATAATGGCAATCATCATCGAAAATATGGTCGACATGGAGGGTATTTTCGATGCAGTTCCACCTGGCTGTGCAGTTAAGGTTTCTGCTGTAGTGCCTAGCGATTCAGTCGATATTGTGTACTGCAACAAAAAATTTGTTATTTTTTTAATTATTTATTACTTTTAAAATATATGGTTTTTAAATAATAAATATTTCTTAATATTTTTTATTATATTTTATTTTTATTATAATATATTTTATTATATTTTCTACGTTGTAAAGCCATGCTGCAGCTATATTGTGGTTGCAGCATGAATGGGTCGGCTCGACCGGGGTGGCACCACGCTCTCACAGAATACCAGCGTAAAATAACAGCTTAATAGTGCTATGTTTCGTATGGTGAGTGTAGAGAACCGGAGACTCTTTTACTGGAAACGAGACATTCCATCTCAGTCCTCAGATAAATATAGATGTCTATAAGCCACAGCATCCACTTAATATCAGGTGAACTGTGTGCTCGTTTGTTACCGTTATAAAAATTGTACTATCCCAAGTTATACGAGCCCGGGACTTGTAGGTCCCAAGTGACCCACGTAAACATGGATTTATTTGGGACTTATTTAAAAAAATGGGTAACTTAACATAACCAACCTAGCATGTCGTAAAAGGCGATTAATGCGAAATTGGGTTTGCATTTGTATAGCGATAGGCTAGCCATCTATGTCTTTTTTTGGTTTCTTGACTAAACGTGCTCCGAGAGCTCACTGCTATTTGGACTCTGCCTTCCCTTTTGGGGATTACAGTAGCGACGCTATATATAGATTATAAATAATACTTATTGAAAGTCACTTTTTTTAATTTACCACTGGTTCGAAAAAAAACCTCTGTCCTGAGAACAACCAGCAAGAAACACAGCGGGACTATTTTTTTTAAATAACAGCTTACAATCATGTATGTTATAATTAACAACACAAAACAAATTATAAATGGCTTGGTAGCGATCGCCTTTCCCAGGGATTATTATGTCCATAAATTCCTTAATATTAAAATAAACCTTTTCATACAAACTTAGTTTCATAAAGTTTTTGAACATTGTGAAGGTCAAATTTTGTATATTTTCTGGATTTATATACAAAATGTATGCGGCGTAACGTATATAACATTTGTACTACCTTTACAATTATTTTTTTTCGGATAAAGCTGTTTAGCTAAATGCGCTAACCCACCAATTCTTAGAGTAAAATTGAATCTAAGAAATTGATTATTTAGTTGTAAATATGGTATAAATCGGATCTCGATAGTTTAATCGGCCAGTTAATGAGGGCTCATAATTTACCGCTCACCAGATGGCACTAGTGTGCACTGATGTGAAGTTTTGTGTTACGCATTGATATTTCATTGAGAAGTTAGTTTTAACTAAATGCTTATCAGTATCTAGAGCAGGGGTTCCCAAAGTTGACTGGGCTTCGATACCCTTAACATAAAATGCCTAATTCGGGACCCACATCTTGTCCGTTTTAAATAGAGGGAATAAAATATTTGTAACGCTTGGATTCCCTAGTCTAATGAATTCTTCGTCCAGAAGAAATTCAATATATTCACTTTTTCTTCCAAGTAAATTCGAACTGCATTGCGTAATTTCACTGATCGTGTCAGTACCACTTTCTTACTGGATAACCAACGCCTGTGTCAGTTACCAGTTAGTGGCCGTCCGGCTGTTAGCCCGATGGGTCAAAATATCGGTCTTACGTTTCAGGGCCCACTCAATATTACTTTGCGACCCACTGGTTTTTTTTTAATATAGAATAGGGGGCAAACGAGCATTCGGTTCACCTAATGTAAAAATGTGGGTCACGACACATAATTTGAGAAATTCTGATCTAGTGTATTATATTAATACACAAAACAATGCCTCAGTGGTTTGCTCTTTAGTATTTTTCCCAATTACAACTCTTTTTAATAGTTCTACTTGCAGAATTTACGTTGTCTGGTTTACTCGTATCCAATCTAATTAATATAAAATATAACTAACATTACAGGAAGTAACATTAACCCTTACATTTTCCTTATTAACTTCGAAACCTTACAGCCCACGTTTAACAGCTTATGCTTGACAGGAGTATTTGCTTTTGTTTTTATTATATATATATATAAAAAAAAAAAAAAAAAATATATATATATATATATATATATATATATATAAAATAAAAGCAAATATATATATAGAAGAGGAGAAAACGACAAACTTTAAATAATAATCAGTTAACATCCGGTGAGCCGCATATCGGATGTAAAGTGATTATTTAAAGCATAAAGGAGCTGGATTACAATATCTAAGTATCTCTTTAAACAAAAACATAACCTTTTTAACGTAAAAGGTAACGTAGCATAGTATCCTAGTACTCACGGGTGACGACGCATCTGCATTTTGATTCGTAATCGAGGATAGATGTAGATGTCTATGGGCCGCAGCATCCACTTACTATCAGGTGGACTTTGCGCTCGTTTGTTACCCTTGTGCTATAAAAAAAATTCTAATCTTTTTAAAGACACAAATGAAGTTTTGACAGTACTTTTTTAAGGTGGCAGGACTCCTCTTTTGTCTGGAAGTCCATCCGGTGTGCCGTGCCTTCGTCGCGACCTGTTTATTTTATAGCTATCGAAAAATCTTACCTTAGCCGTAGTTGATTTGATTAGTTGCAATGGCCGAGGAGTACCAATCGGTATTTTGTACAAAAACCTGTTCTCTTCTCGTCTGTAAAAGTATAAATTATATCTTTTTAAATCGTCATCATCATCATCACTACAGCCCTTCACAAGTCCACTGTTGAACAAAGGCCTTCCCCGTGAAATGCTACAAAGCACGGTCTTGGGTCACCTACATCCATCGACTTCCTGAATGTCTCACATGTGACACCTTACTAATCCGTTGAGCTATGTTGTTTACTCTGGTACTGCAGATATCCTCATTTCTAAGTTCATCACGCAAAGAAACCAAGAGCATCTTTTATAATGACAAAGATTTAGATTCGATTTGTTGATTGATTATTTAGTATAGTTACACATTTCACAATTTAGAATTTTACGATAGTCATATCAAAAAAATATCTTGATATTTTACATTTAGGTTCCACAATAAAATATTATCGTGCGCCCAGCGAAGCGAGCGTGTGTCAGCTACGCTCTATTATATGTCTCATACTATAGGCTATACATATAAATGCATTTAGTCTTCGACGAAAGGAAATAAATTTTCATTGGTCAAGTTAGTTGTGTATGTTTTATATCTATAACATCGAATGTATGATGTTTCTTTGACCGAAGAAAAAGCGGCAGGACCGAAGAAAAACTCAACAGGAAGCTTTTCTTTTTATAATAGCTTAGAATTTACAGAATGAAATATAATAACCGACCGGTAACTGGAGCATTTTCTATGATGCACTCAAAAAAATGAACTCAAAAATTTGGGGCTTATCATGCATAGCAAACCAGAGCAGACCAATCCTTATAAACAGCAATTGTTTACAAGTATGACGCATATTGCGGCCATTGCCTTTAAAATATGTAATCTAATGAAATATATATGTATACTGTATGTAAGTGAAATTTGTAAAAAAATACAATTTTTACGTGGTAGAGCCATGCATACCGTGGGGCGTATACAAGCTGTAACTTCAACTTTTTTAGCTTTAGAGCCATGCTACAATTATATTGTGGTTGTAGCACGAATGGGTCGGCTCGACCGGGGAAGTACCACGCTCTCACAGAATGCCAGTGTAAAATAGCAGCCCAATACTGATGGTTTGTATGATGAGTGGAGAGAACCGGAAACCCTTTTTTATTGGAAATGATACCAACCATTCATTCCATCTTAATCCTCAGGGTGAAAACCTAATCGAGAATAGATGTAGATACCTCTGAACCCCAGTATCTGTGTGTATAGACTGCGTGTTTGTTTGTCACCCTTATTCTATATAAAAAAACGTACGTATTTCTTATTAAGTTGAAAAACTGGTGACCTGTGCATCGGAAACCCACTTTAGGCACGAATCTCTCATATACGATAAGTGAGTTAACCTAATACTATCTTAAGCCTATTGTCGCCATGTGGTGGTGGCGTAGGAGAATCTATCACACCATTTCGTCCCGTGGGTGTCGTAAGAGACGAAGACCAGAAAAATCTTTTAACTTCCGATAGATAGTGGTATAACCATCTCTTTTACACGATATATATAAAAATAATAATAAGCCTCGTTGGTATAGTGGTTGTAGTAATATGTCTGCTTATCATGGGGTCCTGGGTTCGAATCCCGGGTCGGGCTAAAAACTCAATTATTGAGTTTTTCCGTCAAGAAATTCTCAGCAGCTACCCGGAGTCAGGAAGTTGGAGGAGTCACACCCCCGTGCCTCGGAAAGCACGTAAAGCCGTTGATCATGTGCCTAATCACTCTCCGGTTGTGTCGGTTTGCCGTCCCATCGGATTATGAGAGTGAGGGAATAGAGAGTGCACCTGTGCTTACGTATACACTTGGGAACTATAATCCTGTCCTGCACCGATGGCTAGTCTCCGTTGAGGCCGCCGTGAACGAAATTCGGTCTGCGACGGGCAGCAGTGCCAAAGGTGCTCACATCTCATACTGTGATCATCAATTCTTTCTACAATGAGACAGGTTCAAGCTCATCAAAAACAAAATTTAATACAAGTAGTGAAGTAAAAGAAGTTTTCAAACTAAATAGCAGCTTAATGCCGCTGTGTTTTGTATGGTCAGTTGAAATAATCGGAGACCCTTTTTTATTGGAAACGAGGCACTCCGTATTAGTCCTCGGAGCTGATATCGCATCTGCAACTTTATTACTACTGAATTAATCAGAATAAATTTTGATGTCTATGGGCCACAGTATCCAACTACCATCAAGTGAACTGTGAAGATGACTTGGTCTCGTGCTGTCCGTATCACCTTCAAGTCAAAGTGACTGTGGTACACCACAAGACTTAACGTCATCTTAAAATTGAGTAGCCTTTGAGCAATTGGGCTTTATTCTATTTAAAAAATCACGTTGCAATTAATTAAATTTCCATTGCACACGATCGGTGTACGTACAGTTTATGTTCTGCGTTAATTTTCTCCTCCAGCTCGCACCGATTTAATCCTTCGTTTCCAAAATTAACATTCGATTCGTGTTGAAGTACGTAATAGAAGGTTTCCCGAAAATCTGGATTCATTCTGAAACACGAAGTTTCTTGTTACTTAAATGTTGCTTCGGCTATTTAAGAATCCCGGCCGGAAAAATTATTTTTGCATTATGGCACTTTCATTTTAGTTTTCGATATCAGTTAAAAGTTATTCATAAGCTTAAATATAACTTAGCTAAATTAAAAATCACATTTTTATAAAGAAAATAGTTCAATTGTTTCCCTTTTATATTTAGTCAGGCTACAATTTATTTGATGGATTACTTTCATCCGACGATCAATAAATCGACTTTAAATCGACTGGCTGAGCTTGTAACTTAGTCTATAAACATAACTTGTTGCTCATTATTTAGCCCACATCAAACGTAAGAATTTCTCATTACGACCTTCAAGGTTAGTACCACTTTTTAAAAGGGTTATCACATTCTTATTTCAAGAAAAAAACTACATCCCTAAAGTTGTACAAATAAGTGATGAAATGATTTAATGCAGCTATTTAGACGCCGTTCTAATTGCTACTATGACAATGTTATTGCCTGATCCACTCAAAACGGTCAAACAATAAGAATTTAAAAAACTAATTATAACCGACATCAAAAAATATGATAGAATAAATTAATTTTAACACATATTAATAGCCTCTAAATTCTTTAATTCTTCAACACACTATATGTAAACACCGATTAAACGCTGTCCACTTTTCATCATAAAATTAATACTAGTGATAAAAGTTGGTAAAAAGCATGCATATTATGAGTAGTAATAAATGTTTTTATTATTATAAACATACATACATACACAGCGCGATGCCTGTAATTTCTGAAGGGGTAGGCACAGTCCAAAGCACATAGACAATATGAGTATAAATGAAAAACTGAAAATGTTATAGGTGATTAGACCATCGCCTACAGGATCACAAACCAATCTCGCATTAGTCGCCTTTTACGATATGCACGACAAGTATCATAGTTTACATATTGTTTTCTGTTATAAGTCCTATATAAACATGGTACCAATAAGTCTTACACCAACAAGACACAATATGATAAATATTAAATACCTCTCTTTTTCTAATTGCTGCGCGTTAAATTGCCTCATCAAACTTAAACACGGCTGATGTCCAATGTAACACGCGAATTCAACGATATTGCTTCTAAAAAGTCGTATATTGGGCCGCTGCTCTCGATTGTCTACCAACCGCTTATAAATCGACGCGACTTTTGAACGCATGAAATTCTGAAAAAGAAAATATTAGGACTTTTTACCACACTATTATGAAATACCTAGTTATTGAGTTGTTTTTACTATCTTGTATCCATTTCATTGCAATAAATCCAATATAATCTTCGTTAGTTGAAAAAAAAAACCGGCCAAGAGCGTGTCGGGCCACGCTCAGTGTGGGGTTCCGTAGTTTCCCGTCCGTCACATAAGTGTTCCCACTTATCCTCTCGTCAGTCGAAAACCTTCAAAAGGTTGCTATTAAAAAAAGTACACGTCTGTCCACAACCTTTAGAAGGTTGCTATGTACTTATAAACTTCAGACCCGAAACAGCCGTAGTAAATGTATACATATCTCCCTCTAACTGTGTGTTTGCGTTTTTTTTTTAAATTAATTATTGTAAATTGTAAATAAAACAAATATTTATTGTAATAATAATAATAATTATTATTTTTTACATTTTTTACTCAACAAACTGGAAAAAAAATCACTTCTAGCATTTTTATCATGGAATTTAGAAAATATTAAAAAGGTGAATGTACACATTTACACATATTCTATTAGCTTACTCAACAATAATTCTAACAACATATTATTTTATACGTTTCCATACATAATTATTAAGATATTGCCATTTTAATGACATGCGCCACGAAGGCAATAAATCACTCGTTTAGGGTTGGACAGATGCCTCAAAGCGGGCATTTTGGCCGGGACAGTTGAGAGGATATGAGTTTAAAGGTGGGTATCCATTATGTTCGCGCTCCAGCAGCGCTCCGCGCTCCTGCAACTGCTCCCGATAGTGGGTACTGTTGTTTCCATCCAAGTTCAAAATGATTTTCCTAGAAAGTCCTTACAAAGTTCTACTTTTCAGATTTTTTTCATGTTTTCTAAACTTATGGTAGAGGGGGCGGGACACATTGTTTTTTTACTTTTGGAGCGATTATTTCCGAAATTATTGACATTATCAAAAAATTATTTTAGTAAACCCCTATTCATTTTTAAATACCTTTCCAACAATATATCACACGTTAGGGTTAAAATTAAAAAAAAATCACTTCCTACTTTACATATAGGGGGGCTACTCTAATAAAACATTTTTTTCCAATTTTTATTTTACTACTTTGTCGGCGTGATTGATACACATATTGGTACCAAATTTCAGCTTTCTAGTGCTAACGGTCACAGAGATTAAGCGAGGACGGACAGACGGACAGACAGACATGGCGAAACTATAAGGGTTCCTAGTTGACTACGGAACCCTAAAAAGGAGCGTTTGTTTTCTTTGGTAAGGGACTCCTAAGGAATAACCTTTTAATATGATTTGTTTCAAAAATTCTTCACAATATGTTGATGTGTCACATTGTGAAGTCTTTGAGAGATTATAACGGTTGCCAGCAAATAGTCGATGACGATAGTATCTCAAGGCGCCTAAGCAGGCTCCTTACCTTCAGCACTTTTTTCATTTCTTCTAGCAACTGCAATCTAGCAATGCACAGGCATTTAATACACGAAATCGCACCGTTTTAAGTATCCAAATTTCAAGAGCGGCTATAAACTCCGAAAAGAGCGTAATTTTTTTAATTTAACCAAGTTTTAAAGACAGTATTTTTTTTTTCATTTTTCTAATTAGTTTGTTTTTATATTTATTGTATCTAACATTATATTAATTAATAAGCACATTAATTTTAACCACAGAAAAATTAAAACAATTATACAGAAAACTAATGACAATGATTATTGCGTAGAATGTAAAAAGTATTTTTAATTACCTGCCATTCCTGATACAAATTCTTTGTCATATGACAGTTCGCGCCATCTATCTTCAGCAGTTCGAAGCCAGTGATAGCGGAGTCCCATACAACCTCACTTAGTTCCTCGTTAAGGTAATCTAGGACTGTCATGGCGAGGTCTCTGTCTATATCTCCCGCCGTAAATAAGGCAAAAATATCGTTCACAATCTGTTAGAATTGAACAATGTTTAATGAATTAAAAAAAAAAAAAAAAAAAAAAAAAAAATAAATTATTGTTAATTTAAAGATAGTAAATTAAAAATAGACTAAGACGAAAAAGTAAAATTATGACTTCCGGAACGTATACGACGCTGGATATAGGCAACCAAAGGAAATGAAAGGGGTAGGGGCAATTAATTTAGCCACTCTTCAGTTCCTGTTTGTGAACTTCACAGCCCTCAAAATCGTTTATTTCTCGAGCATGCAGGTTTTCTCGCGATTTTTTCCTTCGCCGTATAGCTAGTGGTAAATTATCACTTAAACTATTGTTAACAATTTCATTGGTGCCAGCGGGAATTGAATCGAAGGGAATTGGGAAAGTTTCGAATTATTTTTTTTAAGAAAGGCAAGCCTGTTCTACGGCTCTATCTTTCACTCTTGCCCTATTGACCTCCTATTTACTGATTTTTTCAGTCAATATCGCGCCCTAAATAGTTCCTATGGCCCTCATGTAAAAGAGCAGTATGTTAATAGTCTGGTGAAGAAATAAAATACAAATAATTTTTTTAACTTCATGCTTCTAAAAATTGAAAATTTTAAAGGTAGGGAAGTTATAGATTTCGGCTCGATTTTGAGAATGCGAGATTTTTTTGTCCACGTTTTGAGGTCCTAGGAAGTTGTTCCGACTATTTCAGGCTGAACGTGCGGCCGTGTGTGTGTGTGTGTGTGTGTGTGTGTGTGTGTGTGTGTGTGTGTGTGTATGTGTGTGTGTGTGTGTGTGTGTGTGTGTGTGTGTGTGTGTGTGTGTGTGTGTGTATGTGTGTGTGTGTGTGTGTGTGTGTGTGTGTGTGTGTGTGTATGTGTGTGTGTGTGTGTGTGTGTGTGTGTGTGTGTGTGTGTGTGTTTGTGTGTGTATATGTACGTAAATAAAAAATTGGCTTACGATATCTTTGAAACGAATCAACGGATTGAAATGAACGATATGACCTTTACAAGTGTTCGTTGAGACTTCAACTTGATTAGAGTATGAAGTCAATTGGTTGAGCCGTTTTAAAGATATTCAAAAAATAAAAACCAAAAAAAAATTTTTTCAAGTTTTTTCTAAATAACTTTCAAAATATTTGACTAATCAACTCCAGAACTATTAAAGACATTTATTTTCTTAAAAATATGCCAAGTAAATCAAAAGAAGCGATCGAAAATTATAGCTCGTATTTAATCTTTTCTAAATAATCGTTTTTTTTTTAGATAACTTTCAGTTTTCTTCAATCTATCGCCCCAAGACTTGACAACAATTTTTAGCAAATCAAAAAATGCGTCGTAGTTGCTAAACCGGTACCGAGTCAAAATGAAAGTATATTAAAATAAACTTACTTGAGCCCTGTTTAGCTCGTCGATTGCTAAGCGATCTTCTTTCAAAGTCTTAGCAATTAGCCTCCATGTATAATTATCATAATTAACACGATAATAACCTGAAAACAGCACCATTCAATTTGAATTCTAAACTAAAATTACTAAAAACACAATTGAAATTATTACAAGTTTTCAAACATCAAAACAAATTATTGTCGTGTGGTATCGATCCATAGAGATTCCATCACACCATGGCTATCTTAAGAGGCAACTATAGGAAATGGCAGCAAAAGTTTATGGCCTCCGATGGATGGTCGTATTATCATCTCGTTTATATCGAATACAGAAGTAAAATACCCAGACTGAGTGTCAAAGTTGCTCACGTTTTGTACATGAAAATTAATGCAAATTTTTACAGTTTAATAAAGTAGATGAAGACATTATTTAATTTTCCATTAGGGATGCACACAAATCCCAACTGTTTTTATTATAATGTCAAGATTAAAATAAAGTTATTAAGGGCTTCAATATCTTCCACCTGCTTAATACAGGGTCCCTTTCACATATAAAAGGGATTTTACAGAAGCAAAGATTTCGCTACGTTACCCTAATGCATATTGGCGGACTTTTTGTGTCCTCAAAATATTCTTATTTTAATATTAATATTTTCCGGATATGCATGTCCGTAAAATTTCTTCTTTGGAATACCATGTAATAACATAAAATATTTAGAAGCTCTTAAATAGCTTATATACGTGGTAGAGCCATGCTGCCGTTAGTATAGTTGTAGCACGAATGGGTCGGCTCGACCGGGGAAGCACCACGCTCTCACAGAATACCCACGTAAAATAGTAGCTTAATGCTGTTATGTTTCGTATTTTGAGTGTAGAGAACCGGAGACCCTTTTTTTACTGGAAACGAGGTTGTTGGCGACGCGCCTATAAAAATGTTTCAGTTTATTAAATCAACCGATGACGTTGCTATGAAAAAAGGGGCAGTCACGAGCAACGACGCTCTGATAAGAGAATGCTTAGTTAAATCTTTAAGAAATGTCGAATTAATGATATGAAGGTCTTGGGTTCGACTCCCAGGCCGGACTAGTTTGTTTGTTTTCCTAAGTAATATCGCTTAATAAATTCGTAAGGAATTTAAGATATAAATTATGTTACCGGATTTGTTCCCCGGTTGAAATCATCTTTCAAATGATGTAAATTCATAAGAATATTAAAGTGAAGTTAAAGATCGGATTTGTTCCCCGGTCGAGATAATCACTCTGTGCATAGGCAGAATTAATGGATATTAATTGCATAAATGTTGTTTTGTATAAGTTTGATACGTTTTGTACGAAAACAAATGCCTATTTGTTATGATTGATTAATGAGAACATTCATTTATATTGTTATCTGATTAAAGATAGTTCGAAAATTGTATAAAAGCATTTAATTTGCCTAATATGGTCAAAATTGGTGTATTTCATAATTTAATTTTTTCTGATAGCCGAGAGCCGTGCAAAGTTAGTTGTTCACATAGCGTGAGTACACGGAAGCACGCTGGCCACGCCCTTAGGAGGCCGAATATGTAAAAATTTAAAATGTTTGTAATTCAGTGATTTATGTAAAAATTACTTGTAAAATATTTCAGGTTAATTGTACGTGCTAAAAAGGTAAATTCTGTGTTATTTTCATGTGAAAATTCCTGTGTATAAGTGAAATAATGATAGTTTTGTATAAGAAATTTAAAAGTGTTTTAAATAGTGAAATAAATAGAAAAAATGTAAATTAAACTATTGTATTGGTTAGCTTATGTATAAATTCAAGTGAGAAACATTGTTTTAACTTTCTGTGTTAAATATTTAAGAAATTTCGATTTCGAACTTGTGAGTAAAATAGGCAGTTTTCGTTTAATAAATAAAAGGTTTTTATGATATGAAGATATGATGTATATCATGGTGTAGATATTGTTTTGTACTACCTATATTGATAAATTGTATTTGTATATGATTTGAATAAATAAAGATATTGAGTGAAACGTGAGAGAGTAATAGTACAAATTCATGTAATTAAGTTGCGCAAGCGCGCAGATGGCGCGGCTCACTTTCGCGTATAGCTCTGGGGTAGCTTAGTGAACGGGTTTTATTGCAATTCGTTCGGGGAAAAAGTTCGGGAATCGTTCGGAAATAGTTCGGAAATAAATAAGAAAATCCGGGAAAAAGTTCAAGAAAAGTGAAAAACCAGCAGTATAGGGAAAAGTGATTACTCTCTCACGGAACGGTTTGAAGATAATTGCTGTTTCATTCCCAAGATCCTTTAAGTTATACAGTCCACATCGAAGAATTAAGGCGTCGGGACCGGGACGACTTCGGAAGACCCGTAATCCCCGTCTGAACCTACTTGCTGAAAAGGAAGAGGTTATCGCCCTAGTGTGTTACTCCGTTGCGGAGATCACATACGTTGTTCCCGAACCCAACGTAGGCGTGATAGGAGGCCGGATCGAGAGAAGCCTCGATTCCTGTTTCTTAGTACCCGATCCGCTAGGTCCTTTTCAATTGGTCCTTCGCGACGGGATTAAGAAGAAATCCGACCTGGTCCTTTTCAATTGGTCCTTCGCGGCCGGATTGAGAGGACGTCCAACCTGAGTTCCTTTTCAATTGGTCCTTCGAGCCGGATTGAAGACCACCCGAACCCCGCCAGCTGGATCAAGGAACCAGCTGTGGACTGCTGGTTGTGGAAGAAGAAGACCTTCGGAAGCCGAGTGAAGATCAGCAACCGAAGGAAGCCAGAGGTTTGAGCTGAAGCAATAGGACCAAAGGCCTGAAGACCAGGACGGCAGCACTGAAGGGCTGGACCTGGAACTACCGGAAGAAAGAAAACCGGGATTGCAGCTTGGGGCGTGTGCTCGCATGGGGCACATATCGCAGCCGGGCGCAGGTGTCTTGTGAAGGCACTCATCGTGGCCAAGCAGGGCTTGGCATTTTTCCTGTCGGGCAAGCGTGCTCGGCATTTCCTGTCAGACGATCGTGTCTGGCATTTCCTGTCAGACGATCGTGTCTGGCATTTCCTGTCGGACGACCGTGTCCGGCATTTCCCGTCGGGTCATCAGGGTGCAAAAGGCATCCACCGCTGCTGCTGCCGGGCGAGGGTGCGCGTGGGCACCTGACTGCATCGCGGCCGGAGGAGGGCGCTTGGACGAGGCGTCACCGGCAACTGGGCGGCGAGCACAGCATACATCCCGACCACCTAACGGTGCCAAACGGTTGGGCTCTGGCATAACACCTTCGGGTGGAGCAGTTCTCTCGAGCGAGACTGCGCTTGCACTACCGCTCGACTGTTTCGTCATATTCCTTGGCGGGACAGTTCCTAAACCTTTCCTCCATTCCATTCCTGCACGACTCCATCCCTGGACGGCTCACCTCGGTAGGCCCCGTTCAGGATTGATAGGACTGATAGGGCTGTTAGGGTGGTAGTAGGGTTGTAGGGTTGGGAGATAAAGGGGGGGAGGGGTAGTGGTGTTAGGTTGGGGTGTAGAAGGGTTGTAGGTAAGGGGTTGTAGGGACCGTAGGGACTGTAGGGACAGTTAGGGACCGTAGGCCAACAATCACCTTCCTGCAAGATGAAGAAGGCACAAGACCAGACAGGGAGAAGCGAAGGGAGCAGGACAAGGACAGGGCTCTCAAGAAAAGCTAAAGAAGCGGAATCATCTGGAGCGACCACAGCTACTGCGTCAAATGGAGCAACTCCTCCAAGTGGAGCCACCACAGACACGTCCACATGCACGTGGGACTCAGGGACGTCCATAGCAACGACAAGCAACCGGACGGACACCAGTGGTACGCAGGCCAGCACCGCACAACAATCCGTTATATCCAGGAGTGAAACGGTGGTCGAAAAAGTAGGTCAAAGGACCGAAGAAGCGGCATCGTCAAGGACAGTAATCGGGCACACTAGTGATAAAGGGTCACAGAGAGGTAGTAGGTCATCGCGATCGGCGAGGCTGAAAGCCGAATTAGAGGCGCGGATTAAATTCGAACGCTCAGAGCTCGAACGAGCACAGGCAGCTGCTGCCTTAGCCAAGTCTCAATTGGAGTTGGCACGACTCAACCGAGAAGAGGAAATCGACTCGAGTGAGGATGATGAAGAGCGGAATACTCAGGTGGAACCTTTCGTAAGGAGTTGGGTTCAGCAAACCATAATGAGCGCGCCGGTTAGTGTAGCACAACCCGATATTACTGATAAGGAAGCGTAAAGGATCACGCCGCAAAGGGGCGGAGGTCGAGCGCAACCTAGGAAATGCACAGAAAACACACGCGAGTGAGGTGTCAGAATTGACCGAAGCGATTGTGAGTGCAATAAAAATAGCTGGTAAAGATAAATCTTCCCAGCTTCATTTCCTCCAGGAATTACCGGTGTTCGGTGGAGACCCGGGTGAATGGATAATTTTCAAAACGGTGTTTGAAGACACAAAAGGCCAATTTTCAGGGGTGCAAAATGTCGCACGCCTTAGGAGGGCATTAAAGGGCACCGCTAAAGAGGCGGTTAAGTCGCTGTTATTTACTTTATGTGAACCTGAAGAAATAATGAACGCTCTCGAAAGAAGATTCGGTAGGGTTGAGATGCTCATTCTAGCCGAAATCGAGAATGTAAAGCGTATGCCAAGATTGGCAGAAGATTGCCGAAATATAGGATCTTTTGCAAGTCGTATTACGAACGTGGTTGCCACAATACAAGCGTTGAATCAACCACAGTATTTATACTCACCGGAGTTAGTGAGCCGCATAGTGGAGAAACTTGGAACTATGATTAAATTTAAATGGTTTGAATATCGAGCTCAATATCCTTTGGAGCCAGAGTTACAGAAAATGGCCAAGTTTTTAAATTTATTGAGTGAACAATTTGGAACGTCCTTAAGCAATGAAAATGCGCCTGAAAAAAGGAAGCGTCCTGAATTCAGGAAGCAAACTGTACACACTGCAAAGGGAGGTGTACGCAGCTGTGCCGAGAGCGAGCGCTATATGCGCCGAAGTAATATGAGCGAGCGTTTAGAACGCCGAAATAATAAAAGGCACAACCGACAAGTGGTTATGATAACCCAGGACAAGCCTGTAAGTCGGGTAACACATAAG